TGTCGTTTGAATACAACAATGACAATTAAAAGTAGTTGGGGTATTAGAATTTTAGGGGGGCACAAATTTATGACAATATAACACTAACGGTAGACTATGGGTATTATCTGCACTTTACTCTGATTCTGTTAGTCCAGCCTCACTAGGAATGTTTTAAGGTCCCTTTTTCCTGTAGAGATGAAGTATCTCTTCCAGTGGCAGTTTTCCCAACTGCTATTTTTCCATCCCTCACAAAGCACTGGTGGATTTTTTGGGCATAGCGCAATTTTCTTAGCCGATAAAGAAGGTTTTGTCTCGTTTTGGTAAGGCACTCATTGACGTAAACATTGATTACAAACTCCTTGCAACACAAGAACTTTGCAGTCTCCCATACTACAAGAAATCTGTAACCCACCTTGCTCTTGTAGCGTGAGCTATGGTGTTCTTTACACCCTCGACAGGTATCGGTGACTTGATAGAAGCTGAAGTGTCCTTGGATGTCCATGCCTTCCATAGTCTAGGAATACGCACACTGGTACACTATGTTCCACAAGGTTTGTCTTTACTGTTCACAATCTTATCACAAAAGAAGCTGATCCCACTTCTCTGTGTGATCGTGTTTTGTGAGACACTTTGTTCACACTAACGCATGGATCAGTGTTCTTGGTTGGTTATCTTGGCGTCAGTGTGACTCCCAGTAGGGTGAAAAGTAATCTGACCTCACAGCTTCCTACGCTGCTGCAATGCCCCTAGAACATAAAGGAAAAGCTGACCTAGTACTTTTTCCTTCCTTGCCTAATTTCCTCCATGAAGCAAAGCAGAATGCTTGATTCTTGCTGTCTTAGGCATAGACAACAATGTACACTATCTTTACCATGATAATAAAGCAGGAGCAGGATTTTCCTTAATTGTCATGCTAAGGTAAGAGATGGACTGTCTCTTATTAAACTACACCTTGCAACACTGGACTCTTGCAAGGAGCGGTGGTCGCTTGACCACGTCACATACTTGTACTGCATCTGGGATCAATTACTTGCTGTAGCAGTAAACAAGATGCTTGTCCCTTTTGAGAGGGCTGGGCCCCTCAGGGCTGAAAGGAGCAGAAGGGGACTAATATCCTCCTCCTGGAGAAAATTTCTCCACATTCAGTCTTGACAAGCTGGCAGCAAATTACATCGCAGGATAGGGCAGGCAGGTAAGAACATCAGATGGCTGCATACTGGTCTTATTGACGTGATTAAGGTGGCAAGTTTGTAGATGAGCCATCCTCAGATTTCTTGAAGCTGCTCCTAGAGAGGTGGTAAAGTTTTGTCTTGTTTCCAAAGGTGAATCGTAGAGGCTTGAGGAATTCCAGAACTTGGATGAGTGTGAAGTGATGAGCTTGTTCGCTGGAAAACTTGACAATTCCCACACCATGGCCTTTGTAGAGTTCTATGCAGGTCATGGTGTCAGCATCTGATGAATCAGCGTAGAATGTAAGACTTTCTCATGTTGGTGTGCTAGAGTCGTCAATATCTTCTTCTGATGTGTATTCGGTAGACGAGTCTACCATAGTGCTAGCAGGCTACTGAGAGTTGACAGGAGCAGTGGAGAGGTGTACTGGTGGTGTAACATAAGGTTGGGAGGCGGTGGTGGCGGTGGTCGAGACAGCCTGAGCTGTGGTGTAGGAGGTTGTGGAAGGTGCAGGAACAGTTGCTTGGGCAGTAGGAGACAAGTCAGCAGGAGTAGTGAAGTTAACGGCGTTAGGAAGAATCCAGAGGATGTCAGCTGAAGGTGTGCAGTCAAGGAAAACAAAGGCAGGCATGTAGTTAAGTCAGAATAGTTCATTGATGGTGGTGTTGAATGTGCTTGGGTTGACTGCATTCGCAATGTGGCTATTGTATAGCTTGAAGAATTTTCTTGGTATCAGACTGCAGTTTTGTTATGGCGCCAAATGTCGGCGATTTGGGGGTGCTCTTCTTAGCTTCTTTGATTTTCTTAGTCAATACTTCCTTCTTAGTGGGCATTTTCTGCAAGGGAATGATGAGTGCCCTTGCAGTTGAGGCAGGTTGGAGTGGCATTAGTGGTGGAACAGGCTTTGAAATCGTGGCCGTCGTTTCCGTAGTTGGAACAGAATTTCTTGCCTGTAATCGGACAGTCAGTCGTTGAGTGATGGTAAGAATAACAGTTCCAGCAGGGTGAGACATGGGCAAAACGTTCTGGTTCTATGTGTCGTGGATGAATATGGAAGTAGGAGATCGCTAGGCCATCAGAAAGCGCTTTGGTAACCATATTGATGTTGGAAAAGGTGAGTTTGACCTTTGAAGAAGCGATTGGAATTTTGGTGATGTTGTCAGTCGAGGCCCAAGTGTTTTGTTCCTCGATAGAGGTCTTAAGGTCAACAGTTGATGGAGATGTGATGATCTTGTCCAACCGTTTGACAAAAACAATATTTTGCCAGCAGAAGAGGTGAAGGAGATACGTTGAAGTTTTGATGTTTCATTGTCGTCAGTATAGACGACAATAAAGGAGTCCTTCAGAGAGTGGATTGCTGTGAATTTGACCTACAAGCAGGTCCTTACAGCGGCAGCAAGGGCTAGTTTGGTGGAGTCATTTATGACTCCACTGGCTGGTTTAATCTTTACACGATACGAAAGCATTGTGGAAAAAGTAAAGGCAATTGTGTGTAGGTTACAATTTCCTCTCCCCGACGAGGATCGAAGGGATACTTCTTGAAGTAGAGCGACTTTGGGCGATGAACTCATGTTGTGGGCGATAGTTCGTGTGAGTGACAGAATATCCCCTTTGGGCCAAACATCGTAAAATATTGATTCTCCCTACTAAAGGTATTTCTATAAATACCACTAATCTACAAGTACCTATTTATATGATATAACTTTGACAGCTTTTATAAAAATACTGATGTACACTGAAAGGTAAATGAGTTATTCATGAACAAATTTGGTAATTTCCACTTCACTGGAAATTGCCAAATTTGTTCATGGTAAATATTATTATTATTATTATTATTATTATTATTATTATTATTATTATTATTATTATTATTATTATTATTATTATTATTATTATTATTATTATTTAGGTTTCCCCGATGGGGGACAGTTAAGTTAAACTTTTCATCTTTACCTCATAACAAGAGAATGCCTCATACAAATGGATTCAAACTTCATTGCTGGTGTATAGCAACTAGTCCAAGAGTCTAGGAACGACTGGCATGTGACTGTGCCTTGTGACCAAAGTTGTAACATCTGTTCTCAGCATTTTGTCATGGTTCTAAAAACTTGATAATCTCTCCATGGTGAACCAAGCTTTCTAGATATCCAGAAAGCTTCAACAACCACTACTCTGTCCTCTGAATAATGCATTCTGTTTGCCCCACATCATCTAATTTCTACGTTTCAATATTCTTTGCATAATAGTCTCATCACGCATTGTTAATAAACAATTACATCTCCGCTGCCTCCAGCTTTCTCCTAGCTGCAACATAAAAAAACCCATGCCTCACACGTACATAAAAGGGTTAGAGCCACTATACTCTGCCACTGTCCTCTTTTGATCTGCGTATGTACCAGCAGACTTCATTCTCTCCACAGATGCCTCAACACAACACCCTCCTTTTCTCTCCTTCATCTGTTCTGTTGTTTATTTTATTATTCATAGGCACATCTGCCGGCACATCATCCACTCTCAAATACCTAAATACAATAAATTCCTCTGTAGTCCTCCTTCCAATCTGATACTCTCGTCACCTTAATCTTTTTCGTGATCAGATTTTATTTTCTTCTTATATTTATTGAGAAAACTGTTATTTGCATCTTTGTCCATGGGAAGACTAAGTAAATATGTGAAATTTCAACACTATAAAAATGTAAGTTTACATTATATTTAAGTTTTATTATGTTCGACTTCAGTTGCTCTATTTCTTTTTCGCAATTCTGGCCACAGCAGATTTAGTACATCTCCCGGCAGTGATCAGCTCATAAGAAAAGCCAAATTTGCGAATTTCATTTCCTCATTCCATTTAGAATCTAGAGTTTCCTTTAAGGTAAGATATGCTACCATCATTGATAGAATGAAGCTCTTCAGAAGTAGAATTCTAAAGATTTCATAGGGAAAATAAAATTCCAATTTCTTACAGACTGAAAATTTGGTACATACTCAACCCGAAAGTAGTTCGGGTTGAGAAAGTGTAAAGCCAAATTTAGGCTTTTACCACTTATTGTAAAGGAGAGCTGCCATCGATTTTCATAAAAAAAAACTAAAAAAAAAAACTAGTGTTGAAAGTTTGAATCCGATCAAATGAGGCATCATCTAGTCATTGCAAGGAATAAAAAAAAAATCCAAACTTTCTATTTAATTTAGAAAAATGACAAATTTGCACCTACATAATCAAAATCTATGGTGAATCTTTCTGTATATTAGATGCATCAGTTTTTGAACCTGAATCCAATTCAGGATATTACATGAAAAAAAAGTCATATAATTTTCAGAGAAAAATAGTAAATTCTCTCTTACAAAAATCAATAACAATTTAAACTTTCCCCTAAGAAGCAGATGCCAGTGTTAAAAGTTTGAAAATTAATCCTAAAATAATCCTTAAATTATCACGGAGAAGTTTCTGTGGCAGTTGGTTGTTTAAATCAAATTGGGTTTTCAAGATCACTTTCCAGTTGTCTTACAGAAATTTTAGAGGAAGAAAAGTTCAATAGTAATTATTTATTTCGTTTGGGGGAACCAAACTAAATTTTGTTGTAACTTGTAAATGTTATAATGCAGAACTTGTAGAAAACATATTTTACTAATCTTTGAGATATATTATGCCTGTTCTTTTTACATCCAGACTTTCGTCTTTCTCATCTAAATAAATGATTTTGTACAGCATTCAGTAGAATATTTTTAGTTTTATAAATATATGAATTTTATTTAACTATCCCGATCGTATAAACGTTTTTTTTACATCATGAATACTTTGAGCATTATAAAAATACAAAATTATATTAAATATAATGTCTTGTTTCAAGGAGCAGCAAGCTGTGAAGGTATTCCTTGCGACTCCAATGCTGTGTGTGAGATACGCTCCGCCGCACCTCAGTGCATCTGTCTTCCTGGCTATACTGGAGATGGACTCATATGTACTCGGGACTACAGTACGTTAATATTTTAGTAGAGCATTCTTTTAGAGTTTGTGTCTGTGTGTCTATTTTAAAATTTATGCAAATATAATTGCTGTTTCCTAGATCATGATCATTTTGGTAGATATATTAACACGTAAACACGCTAGCACACACACTCACACACACACACACACACACACACACCATACAAACCTTCTGGAGTTGTATGACAAGGTAACAGAAGTAAGACAAGAGAGAGAGGGGTGGGTTTATTGCATTTTCTTGGACTGCAAGAAGGCCTTCAACACAGTTCCCCTCAAGAAATTAGTGCAGAAGTTAGAGGATCAGGCACGTATAACAGGAAGGGCACTGCAATGGATCAGAGAATATTTGATAGGGAGGCATGGTACGTGATGAGGTATCACAATGGGCTCCTGTGACGAGAGATGTCCCACAGGGGTCAGTCCTAGGACCAGTGCTATTTTTGGTATATGTGAATTACATGATAGAAGGGTTAGACTCAGAAGTGTCCCTGCTCGCAGATAATGTGAAGTTAATGAGGAGAATTAAATCAGAAGAGTATCAGGCAGGACTATTACAAATAGACCTGGACAGGCTGGACACGTGGTCCAGCAACTGGCTCCTCCAAATGGAAAGTCATGAAGATCGGGGATGGGCAAAGAAGACCGGAGACAAAGTATGGGCTAGGTGCCAAAGACTGCAAACCTCACTCAAGGAGTAAAGATCTTGGGGTGAGTATAATACCGAGCACGTCTCCGGAAACGCACATCAACCAGATAACTGCTGCAGCATATGGGCGCCTGGCAAACCTGAGAACAGCGTTCCGATACCTTAGTAAGTATTCGTTCAAGACATTGTACACCGTGTACGTCAGGTTCATTCTGGAGTATGCATCACTTGTTTGGAACTCACACCTAGTCAAGCACGTCAAGGAATTAAAGAAAGTGCAAAGGTTTACAACAAGGCTAGTTCCAGAACTAAGGGGAATGTCCTGCGAAGAAAGGTTAAGGGAAATCGGCCTGACGAAACTGGAGGACAGGAGGGCTAGGGGAGACATGGTAATGACATACAAAATACTGCGAGGAATAGATAAGGTGGACAGAGACAGGATGTTCCAGAGATGGGACACAGAAACAAGGGGTCACAATTCGAAGTTGACTCAGATGAGTTCATGTAATGTTAGGAAGTATTTCTTCAGTCATAGAGTTGTCAGGAAGTGGAATAGTCTGGCAAGTGATGTAGTGGAGGCAGAAACCATACATAGGTTTAAGAAGAGGTATGATAAAGCTCATGGAGCAGGGAGAGAGAGAGGACCTATTAGTGATCAGTGAAGAGGCGGGGCCAGGAGTTGAGCCTCGACCCCTGCAACCACAAATAAGTGAATTCAAATAGGTGAGTTCATACACACACATGGGGGACCAGAGACGTGGAGGGCTAAGATGAGGTAGGTGGTACTGGAAAATCTCATGCATCAGCATGTTAGGGACACTCAGAGAATGAGACTAGGATGAACCAGCAAGCCTAGACCTCTTATTGAGTAGTTCAGACACTGAGGACATCATATATGAAAGGCCCCTCAGAGCTAGTGATCATATGGTCCTAAGCTTAGAATACATTGTAGAGCCATAAGTGGAGAATGAAGCAGAACGAGTAGGACATGAGAAGCTAAACTACAAAAGAGGGGTCTTCACAGGCATGAGGAATTTCCTGCATGAGGTACAGTGGGAAAGAGAACTGGTTGGAAATATAGTAAATGAAATAATGGAATATGTGACCACATAAGGAGACAGAGGAGAGGTTCATACCCAAGGGCAACAGAAATAATGGAAAGACTAGAATGAGCCATTGGTTCACCCAAAGGTGTAGAGAGGCCAAAAGTAAGTGCGTTAGAGAATGAAGAAAGTATAGAAGACAAAGGACTCAGGAAAATAAGGAGATTAACCGAAGAGCCAGAAAGAAATATGCATGGGTAAGGGGGGAGGCCTATCGGCAATCCGACAATGACCTAGCATTGAAAGCCAAATCTGACCCAAAGCCGTTGTACAGCCACATCAGGAGGAAGCAACAGTCAAGGACCAGGTAATCAGGCTGAGGAAGGAAACAGGGGAGATCACAAGAAATGACCAAGAAGTATGTGAAGAGCTCAACACAAGATTTAAGGAAGTATTTTCAGTTGAGGCAGGAAGGACTCCAGCAAACCAGGATGGTAGGGTACACCAACAAGTACTGGACACACTGCACACAACCGAGGAGAAGGTGAAGAGACTGCTAAGTGCACTAGATACCTAGCGCACTTGCACAGCTACATCAGGATGTAGCTGTTGTACAGCTACATCAGGAGGAAAACAACAGTCAAGGACAAGGTAATCAGACTGAGGAAGGAAGGAGGGAAGATCACAAGAAACGACCTCGAGGTATATAAGGAGCTCAATATGAGATTCAAAGAAGCGTTCACAGAGGAGATAGAAGGGACTCCAGAAAGACGGAGAGGTGTTGTGAACCATCAAGGATTGGACACAGTACATACAACCGAGGAAGAAGTGAAAAGGTAGCTAAGCGAGCTAGATTCCACAAAGGTGATGGGGCCTGATAACATCTTTCCATGGGTCCTGAGAGAGGGAGCACAGGTGCAATGTGTAGCACTATCAACAATCTTCAACACATCTATCGAAACAGGGTGACTACATCAGGTATGGAAGGCAGCCAATGTAGTCCGAATTAAAAAAAAAAACAGACATGAAGCATTAAACTACAGACCAGTGTCACCGACATGTACAGTATGCAAAGTCATGGAGAGGATTATCAGGAGAAGAGTGGTGGAGCACCTAGAAAGGAAAGAGCTTATCAACGACAGCCAGGACGGTTTCAGGGATGGGAAATCCTGCATCACAAACCTACTGGAGTTCTATGACAGGGTGACTGCAGTAAGACAAGAGAGAGAGAGGTGGGTAGACTGCATTTTCTTGGACTGCAAGTAGGCGTTTGATACAGTTCCACACATGAGATTAGTGCAAAAAGACCAGGTAATCAGGCTGAGGGAAGAAGGTGGAGAGCTCACAAGAAACGACCAAGAAGTGTGTGAGGAGGTCAGCATGAGATATAAGAAAGTATTTTCAGTGGAGACAGAAAGGACTCTGGGAAGACAGAACAGAGAGGTATACCAACAAGGGATATACCAGTAAGTGTTGGATGAAATACTTACAACCGAGGAAGAGGTGAAGAAGCTGCTAAATGACCTTGATACCTCAAAGGCGGTGGGACCAGACAACATCTTTCCATGGGTCCTTAGAAAAGGAGCAGAGACGCTGTGTGTATCGCTAACAACAATTTTCAGCACATCCATTGAAACTGGGCAACTACCTGAGGTATGAAAGACGGCAAATGTAGTCCCCATTTTTAAGAAAGGAGACAGACACGAGGCACTAAACTATAGGCCAGTGTCACTGACGTATATAGTACTCAAAGTCATGGAGAAGATTATGTGGAGGAGAGTGATTGAGCCTGTAGAACTGAACAAGTTCATGAACGACAATCAGCAAGGATTCAGGGAAGGCATATCCTGTGTCACAAACCTACTGGAGTTTTATGACAAAGTTATGGAAGTAAGACACGAGAGAGAGGGGTGGTTAAATTGTATTTTCTTGGACTGCAAGAAGGTCTTCGGCACAGTTCCTCACAAGAGATTAGTGCAAGAGCTAGAGGATCAGGCACATGTAACAGGAAGGGCACTGCAATGGATTAGAGGATACCTGACAGAGAGGCAACATCAGGTCATGGTTCGTGACGAGGTATCAGAGTGGGTGCCTGTGACGAGCGGGGTTCACAGGGGTCAGTCCAAGGACCAGTGCTATTTTGGTATATGTCAACCAAATAACTACTAAAGCATATGGGCGATTAGCAAACCTAAGAGTAGTATTCAGACATCTCAGTTAAAAGTCGTTCAGGACTCAGTGCACCGTGTATGTCAGGCCTATATTGGAGTATGCAGCACCAGTTTGGAACTTACAACCAAGCACGTCAGGAAGTTGGAGAAAGTGCTAAGGTTTGCAACGAAACTAGTCCCGGAGCTAAAGAGCATATCCTACGAGGAGAGGTTAAAGGAAATCGGCCTGACGACAAAGGAGGACAGGATGGATAGGGAAGACATGATAACGACATATAAAATACTAAGAGGAATCGACAAGGTGGACAGAGACAGGATGTTTCAGAGATAGGACAAGGCAACAAGGGGTCACAATTTGAAGCTGAAGATTCAGATGAGTCACAGGGATGTCAGGAAGTAATTCTTCATTCATATAATTGTCAGGAAGTGAAATAATCTGGAATGTGAGGTAATGGAGACAGGATCCATACATAGCTCTAAGCGGAGGTATGATAAAACTCACGGAGGGAGGGAGGGAGGGAGTGACCTAGTAGCGACCAGTGAAGAGGAGAGGCCAGTGTCTATGAGAACACACGGACTCTCTCTCTCTCTATCTCTCTCTCTCTCTCTCTCTCTCTCTCTCTCTCTCTCTCTCTCTCTCTCTCTCTCTCTCTCTCTCTCTCTCTCTCTCTCTCTCTCGATCTCTCGATCTCTGCAAGGACAAATAAGTGAGTACAAACAGGGAGAGTGACCCAGTAGCGACCAGGGAAGAGGTGGGGCCAGGAGCTATGAATCGACCCCTGGAGCCACAACTAGGTGAGTACACACACACACACACATACACACAGACACAGACACACACACACAGACACACACACACACACACACACACACACACACACACACACACACACACACACACACACACACACACACACACACACACACACACACATACATATACTGCAGACAGAGTACAGGCTAAGAGGCCAAAGACTGCAAGCCTAACTCAAGGAAAAGGATCCTGGGATGAGTATAATACCGAGCACATGTGAGGCGCACATCCAAGCAACTGCTGCAGCATATGGGGCGCCTGGAAAACTTAAGAATATGCCATTTCGACACCTGAGTAAGGAGTCATTCAAGACACTGTACACTGTACGTTAGACCCATATTGGAATATGCAGCACCCGTAAGGAACCCACACCTGGTCAAGCAATTCAGGAAAATAGAGAAAGTGCAAAGACTAGTTTGGAGCTAATGGGTTATCCTGTGAGGAATTGTTTAGGGAACTCAGCCTAACGACACTGGTGGATAGGAGTTATAAGGAAAACATGATAAGGACGTTTAAAAAAAATACCAAGAGGAAGTGACAAGGTGGACAGGGACAGAATGTTTCAGAGATGGGACAGAGGGACAAGGAGCCGCAGCTGGATATTGAAAAGTCAGATGAGTCACATGGATGTTAGGAAGTATTTCTTCAGTCGTAGATTTGTCAGGAAGTGGGAAAAATCTGGAGAGTGATGTAGTGGAGGCAGGATCCATATATATAGCATTAAGAAGAGATACAATAAAGCTCATGAAGAGGGAGAGAGCTCACCTAGTAGCTACCAGCGAAGAGGCAGGGTTGGGAGCTGTGATTCCACCCCTACAACCACAAATAGGTGAGTACGCACACACACACATATACACTCAGATGCAATCTTCCCACCAGGATACCAGATCATGAGGAAAGATAGAAGGAGCAGAGGGGGAGGTGGGGTTGCTCTGCTAGTAAAAAACAGATGGAAATTCGAGAAAATGGAAGGCATAGATGAGATGGGAGAAAGAGACTACATAGTAGGTACACTTCAGTCTGGGGAACACAAGGTGGTCATTGCAGTGATGTATAATCCACCACAGAACTGCAGGAGGCCAAGAGAAGAATATGAAGAGAGCAACAGAGCAATGGTGGACACACTTGCTGAGGTGGCAAGAAGAGCTCACTCCAGCAGAGCAAAGTTGCTGGTTATGGGGGATTTCAACCACAGGGAGATTGACTGGGAAAACCTGGAGCCACATGGGGGTCCCGAAACATGGAGAGCCAAGATGATGGACGTGGTACTGGAAAATCTCATGCACTAACATGTTAAGGACACTACCAGAGTGAGAGAGGAGGATGAACCAGCAAGATTGGACCTTGTCTTCACCCTGGGCAGTTCAGACATTGAGGACATCACGTATGAGAGTCCCCTAGGAGCTAGCGACCACGTGGTTCTGTGCTTTGAATATATAGTAGAGCTGCAAGTGGAGAGAGTAACAGGAGTTGAATGGGAAAAGCCTGACTATAAAAGAGGAGACTACATAGGGTTGAGGAACTTCCTGCACGAGGTCCCGTGGGACAGAGAACTGGCAGAAAAGCCAGTAAATGAAATGATGGAATATGTAACAACAAAATGCAAGGAGGCAGTGGAAAGGTTTATTCCCAAGGGCAACAGAAACAACGGGAAGACCAGAACGAGCCCCTGGTTTACCCGACGGTGTAAGGAGGCAAAAACAAAGTGCAATAGAGAATGGAAAAAGTACAGAAGGCAGAGAACACACGAAAATAGGGAGATCAGCCGCAGAGCCAGGAACGAGTATGCACAGGTAAGGAGGGAGGCCCAGCGACAGTATGAAAATGACATAGCAACGAAAATCAAGACTGACCCGAAACTGTTGTATAGCCACATCAGGAGGAAGACAACAGTCAAAGACCAGGTGATCAGATTAAGGACAGAAGGGGGAGAACTCACAAGAAATGACCAGGAGGTATGTGAGGAGCTAAACAGGAGACTTAAGGAAGTTTTTACAGTAGAGACAGGAAGGGCTGTGGGAAGTCAGCACAGAAGGGAACATCAAGAGGGAATATACCACCAAGTGTTGGATGACATACGAACAACCGAGGAGGAGGTGAAGAAGCTGCTAAGTGACCTTGATACCTCAAAGGCGATGGGACCGGCCAACATCTCCCCATGGGTCCTTAGAGAAGGAGCAGAGATGCTGTGCGTGCCTCTAACCACAATCTTCAACACATCCCTTGAAACTGGGCAACTACCTGAGAAATGGAAGACAGCAAATGTAGTCCCCATATTTAAGAAAGAAAACAGAAACGAGGCGCTAAACTACAGACCTGTGTCTCTGACATGTATTGTGTGCAAAGTCATGGAGAAGATTATCAGGAGGAAAGTGGTCGAACACCTGGAACGGAACAAGATTGTAAATGAAAACCAGCATGGGTTCATGGAAGGCAAATCTTGTATCACAAACCTACTGGAGTTTTATGACAAGGTAACAGAAGTAAGACACGAGAGAGAGGGGTGGGTAGATTGCGTTTTCCTAGACTGCAGGAAGGCCTTTGACACAGTTCCCCACAAGAGATTAGTGCAGAAGCTGGAGGATCAGGCGCATGTAACAGGGAGGGCACTGCAATGGATCAGGGAATACCTGACAGGGAGGCAGCAACGAGTCATGGTACGTGAAGAGGTATCACAGTGGGCGCCTGTGACGAGCTGGGTCCCACAGGGGTCAGTTCTAGGGCCAGTGCTATTTTTGCTATATGCGAACGACATTATGGAAGGAATAGACTCTGAAGTGTCCCTATTCGCAGATGATGTGAAGTTGATGAGAAGAATTAAATCGGATGAGGATGAGGCAGGACTGCAAAGAGACCTGGACAGGATGGACATGTGGTCCAGAAACTGGCTTTTCGAATTCAATCCTGCCAAATGCAAAGTCATGAAGATTGGGGAGGGGCAAAGAAGACCGCAGACAGAGTATAGGCTAGGTGGACAAAGACTACAGACCTCACTCAGGGAGAAAGACCTCGGGGTGAGAATACCGTTCTCATACCTTAATAAGGAATCGTTCAAGACACTGTACACTGTGTATGTTAGGCCCATACTGGAGTATGCAGCACCTGTCTGGAACCCACACCTGGTCAAGCACGTCAAGAAGTTAGAGAAAGTACAAAGGTTTGCAACAAGGCTAGTCCCAGAGCTCAGGGGGATGTCGTACGAGGAAAGGTTGAGGGAAATCGGACTGACGACACTGGAGGACAGAAGGGTCAGGGGAGACATGATAACGACATACAAGATACTGCGGGGAATAGACAAAGTGGACAGAGATAGGATGTTCCAGAGAGGGGACACAGGAACAAGGGGTCAAAACTGGAAGCTGAAGACTTCAGTCATAGAGTCGTCAGCAAGTGGAATAGCCTAGCAAGTGAAGTAGTGGAGGCAGGAACCATACATAGTTTTAAGAAGAGGTATGATAAAACTCAGGAAGCAGAGAGAGAGAGAGAGAGGACCTAGTAGCAATAAGTGAAGAGGCGGGGCCAGGAGCTGAGTCTCGACCCTTGCAACCACAATTAGGTGAGTACAATTAGGTGAGTACACTCACATGCGTAAGCCTGTTTTTAAGAAGAAATGTGAATTATTGGAATATAATCCTCAATGCAGTTTTTATCAGGCATTCTATTCTGCAGGTGGAGTATCAGTTATCCAACAGCGTGACTGTGTGGATAGTGATATTTGCAGCGAGTATGCTAGTTGTCTGTATGACGACTCAGTGAGGAGCTTCCGCTGTGTGTGTTTCCAGGGATACACTGGAGACGGAGAGACATGTAACCCAGTGACTGGACAAGGTTAGTATGCCACACTTGTTTTCATAAACTCTGAGAGGTTCTGGTATTTCAAAAGTTGTGAATGAGTAAGTTTGTTTGTGAACAGTAATTGCTATTCTCCTAGTTTAAATTTTTCCGTTGTAATTGCAATTTATCACTGTCTTCGCCGTTTATAATGCAGTTGGTTGTAGTTAATTTTACAGGTGTGTATAGAGAAAAGGGATTCAACCGATTAAACGATTTATCTTTTGGCAGCTAACCAAATATGTTTAGTATTAGAAGAAATCATGTGTTCGCTCTCTTTAGTAAACTGCTGGAAAGATCGTCGGTTAAGTTAGGTAGGTTCGTCAGGAAATAGGAAAAGTGTTTCCTGACGAGGGTTTTAATCATTTGATGACCCACGTCTGGAGCTTTTTGTCATCTGACTGAGGCCTTTTCCTGGCTTACCGGTTTGCCCTTTTAAAAATTATGGTTATAATTCGATTACTTGAGTATCGGTTGTAGGCGGAAACTAACAAGCCTACATAACGGTGTGGATGCCAGCGTCCACACTGTCCATAACTTGCACCAGTGACGCCAGTATCCACACCTTGTTTTTTATGGAGGGACTAATTGAGGAAATTGAAATATTACTTATCATTCAATAATTTCTAAGTACTGAATCCCAATACCTTCAACTCTTCAATTCTGACAACTCGAAATTGCAATTTCTGAGCGACTTTAAGCATAATGTTCTCTTATTTTTTTTTTTTTGAGATATTTGCTTCTTTAAGCCGTCTAAAGTAAGAAGAGAATGCCTCTTCAGTACACTCTCAAAACTAGTGTTTCTTAATGGAAGGTTTGATTTAGTTTTGGGCTGTGAATATCCTAAATTGCCATTTTTAGTGAAGAAACAGAGATGCTATTAGTTTCCTGGGATAATTGGCTTCAGATCTTCAGTGCTAATATTTAACTACACTGCAAGCTTAAACTGCACTGTGCGGACTGGGAGTTATATCACAAGGGGTCGTCTTTCTCGAATCACACATCGACCAAAAATAGATCGAGTTGTTCCTTTGCTTCTTATATTTCTAGAAAGTTGTTGTCAGTAGCAATTTTGGCAAATATCTCTTAGTTTATTTTTCAACAATGACACTGTAAGATGAAAAAGTATCGCTGTCTTTTACCGAAATATTCAGTGTTCCTATTTTGTCTTTCTTACTGCAGAGAGCTGTGGGACTGGTAGGAATTGCTCACCATATGGTGTATGTACCAGAACGGAAGATGGGTATAGATGTGATTGTCTACCAGGCTTTTTCGGTGATGGTTACACATGTGAAGCCATTGACCCTACTGTGTCACCACTTCAGAGTCTACCACCATACCAACCACAACAACCAGATCAACCGCATCGCCCTCAAGGTTCACACGAATCACAAGAACCACATCAGCCAGAACAGCCGCATCAGCCTGAGTCACCACAGGAGCCACAACTTCCATATCAAAATGAGGTAAGAATGAAGTAGGGCTTCAGCTGCTGCATCTCATTTCTTCCACTGGCTTCAGTTAAAAGTTTCAGTTCTCATGTTTTTTGTAAGCAGACTTACAAAGCCTGATGTGCAGGCGGAATTTCTCGCATTAAATATCCCAGATGTTCATAGTCTGAAACAATGTGAAGAATAAGCGACAGTGTGGACTTATATACTGTCGGCAGGAGAGGTGTAGAGTAGCAGAAGAAAGAATGTGACCTCTCAGTGATTACATTCTTTCTTCTACTACTCTACGCCTCTCCTACCGACAGTATATAAGTCTCCGCACTGTTGCTTGTTCTTCACATTGTTTCAGACTATGAACGCCTGGGATATTTAATGCGATCCTTAAGGATTGTATGGTCCAGTGGATTAAGGCATCATGAGTTTTCGCCCACCATGAGGCAGGCCAAAGCAGCATGGGTTCGAGTCTTCGGCTAGTCGCAGTGTTGTTGTTGATCAATACCACTTGTTCGCGGGCACATATAATAATATTATATATATATATATATATATATATATATATATATAAATATCTTCTTTCAACACACCGGCCGTATCCCACCGAGGCAGGGTGGCCCAAAAGGAAAAACGAAAGTTTCTCCTTTTACATTTAGTAATATATACAGGAGAAGGGGTTACTAGCCCCCTTGCTCCCTGCATTTTAGTCGCCTCTTACAACACGCATGGCTTACGGAGGAAGAATTCTGTTCCACTTCCCCATGGAGGTAAGAGGAAATAAACAAGAACAAGAACTAGAAAGAAAATAGAAGAAAACCCAGAGGGGTGTGTGTGTGTGTATATATATATGCTTGTACATGTATGTGTAGTGTGACCTAATTGCAAGTAGAAGTAGCAAGACATACCTGAAATCTTGCATGTTTAAGAGACAGACAAAACACCACCAATCCTACCATCATGTAAAACAATTACAGGTTTTCGTTGTACACTCACTTGGCAGGACGATAGTACCTTCCTGGGCAGTTGCTGTTTACCATTATATATATATATATATATATATAATATATATATTATATATATATATATATATTATATTATATATATATATATATATATATATATATATATATATATATATATATAATATATATATATATAGTTTTGGTTCCGAATAGGTAAAATTAGTCAGTTATCAAGAATTCATTTAAAATTAAAGCCTTTCTAAAATTTTCTCTTATAGGTTTAAAGATATATGTTTTTCACTTACGTCAATGCAAAAATTAATAATTATGTACTAAAAGAACCTTAGAAAATTTGCCTAACTTTATTATAACAAACGCAATTTAATTTAGCCTGATTCATGTAAATATATTTTAGATAAGTTTACAGTAATTTAATAATAAGCAAATGCAATGAAATATGTTTTTTTTTCGTTAAGTTAAGAATAATTTTGAGAAATTATTGCATTCAAAAATTTTTGCTTGCCTTATTCGACATGAAGAGCCTCGCCATTTAAGCCAAAATCGTAAGTTTTATTTTTTCTGCAACATAGATACACACACACACACAGGAGCTGTGAATCAACCCCTGCAACCACAACTAGGTGAGTAACACACACACACACACACACACACACACCGCGTGTGCGAGTCACGCCTTTCCGTGCTCCGCAAATGTAAGTGTTTTTGAGGGCCACCCATGTGTACTGCAAGGGTTGTTTAGTGTGTCAGGGTAGTGAACAATCCTTGAAGCGATTTACAATCTGCCTGAGCCACATAAGTGTGGGGAGATCCACAATTTTATAAGTGATCTAGAAAGTGATACTTGGTGTCGAATTCAGAGTGGGCAGCTAGTCTGCTCCAGGCGACGTTACCACGTGTCACCCAAGAAAGATAATAAAGTGAAACAAATATGTGACCAGTGAAAGAAACACAGTTAATAGAGTACATTATATAACGAGAAGAAACGGAGGTGGATCTGCGCCAGGACATCACATCGAGCTGGACAATCTACATGCTGCTACAGCTGCATTGCAAGTACTGTATTCACCTATGCGTGGTTGTTTGGGTGTGAGCTTTGGCTTCCAATTAACCGCCAAGCTGATTGTGAACGGTCCAACTCTGCTAGTACGATAAAGAATAGGCACTCAAGTACTCAATAAGGAATAGCAATTGGTAATTTATGGAACAAGGCGAGACAGGTTTCTATAAGCCTATGTGGGAGTAAAAGCAGAGAGTCCAGTATTGTAGGTAGGTGCGGGTCAAGTCACAGGAGCGTGTGGGTCAGGTCACAGGAGGGTGTGGTCAGGTAAGGGACCACTGAGACTCCACATAAAACTCCAAGGCAGAATTCCACCTACTTTTCAGACAATAAACCCGCACATAGTTACACACACACACACACAAACACACACACACACACACACACACACACACACACACACACACACACACACACACACACACACACACACACACACTCCCACATATACAGACTCACACATACACTCCCCCCCTGCCCCCTCCCCCTCCAATCTCTCACTTCTTCCCCTGATCCCCCCAATCTCTTTCACCCTCCTTCTCCCCACCTCTCCCTCTTTCCCCCCTCTCCCCCTCCCATTCTCTTCATTGCTTCTCCCACCTCCTCACTCCCCCTCAATCCCCCTCCCCACCCCTCTCCCATACAACCACTGTCTACAGTTCCTCCTCTACCTCCCCCCCCCACACTCGGACAAACACACCACAAACCTAAAACACAGAATTATGTAAGTTTTCCATTCTGAGGCAATCAAAACAAAAACAAATAAATGGGTTGCTAGAGAGCAGGAAGGAAAACTAGGAAACAGGAGGATGAATCTGCAAAGGAAGACTGGGCAGCAGAGCTCAGGAAAAGGGAACATGTATGGGGAAAGAAACTAGAAGAACTTAGCATGAGAATGAAAGAGAGGATAGATATGGAAAGCAAGAAGTGGGAGATGCAAGTCATAGCAGCAGAGGCTAGGATACAGAGATTAGAAGAGGAACTGAAAAATCTGAAGCAGCTTAAAGAACTAAAGAACAATTTGGGAATGACATCAGAAACTGCTACCTCAGTCACAAACAAGGGGACTGTAGGGAACGAAGGAGCAAAACTGCATGTAGAAGCCCTGTTAGAGGGGACTGTAGTAAATGAAAGAGCTAAGCTATATGTGGAGGTCCTAACAGCAGAGCCCAGGGAAAGCTGACAAGGGAAAATGACAGGCCACTGAGCCCAAGTACAATAGATAGTGAAACTGAAGAAAGGAAAGCTGCAATGGAGGAAACTAAATTGAATCAGTGGATACATAGGGATATGCAGTGGGAGAATGAAAGGGAGAGGTCAGTCTTTGTGTATGGGTTCCAGGAAGTTGAAGGGGAAACTTATGAAGCAAGAAAACAAGGGGGAAAATGTAATCCAAAGCATCATAAAAGCAATCGAAGATGACATGACCCAGCTGGAAAATTTTTGGAGAATAGGGGGGTTTGCAAGAAGAAGAACCCGGCCAATGAAAGTGACTTTCAAGGCAGAATCGACTCGGAGCAGGATCCTGCAGAAAAAAGCAAGACTAAGGGACATGCTGGCATACCGGAAGGTGTATCTCGACCACGACAGAACACAAAAAGAAAGGCAGAAACTGAAAGAGATGGTACAAAGGCAAAAGGAGGAAAGAGTGGAGAAGATGGAGATGGAGACAGACAGGAGATCCCAGACTCAGGAAGAAGATCAAATACAGCCTCCCTCACAACTACCTACAGAAGCTCCCCAACCAGGACAACCCCAGTGCAACCAAACATTCTAACCCAAAACACCCATGCCATATCCAATGCCCCCACCCACCTCATTACAAACTCCACCCCCACAGCAACCACTCATAGTTCCTTATCAGGTCTCCCACTTCCCCAACCCCAATATACCCACCAGACCACAGTTTTAGAAAAAAAGTTGAAGGAGTGGTATACAAATGCAGATGGAATAACAAATAAGTATGAGTAGTGGCATGAAAGAATCAAGGAGACATCCCCAGACATAACAGCACTCACAGAAACAAAACTCACCAGAAAGATAACAGATGCAATCTTTCGACCTCAATATCAAATCCTCAGGAAAGACAGAGGGAGAAGAGGGGGAGGAGGAGTTTCATTGCTCATTAAAAACCAGTGGGGTTTTTGAGAAAATGGAAGGAATGAATGGCATGGGCGAGAGGGACTACTTAGTAGGAACAATCCAGTCTGAGGGTCATGTGATAATTGCAGTAATGTACAACCCGCCACAGAACTGCAGGAGGCCAAGAGAAGAGTACGATGAGAGCAACAGAACAATGGTCGACACACTAGCCGAGGTGGCCAGAAGAGCTCACATGGGGGGAGCAAAGTTACTAGTTGTGGGTGATTTCAATCACAAGGAGATTAACTGGGAAAATCTGGAGCCCCATGGGGGTCCCAAAACATAGAGAGCCAAGATGATGGATGTGGTACTGGAAAACCTCATGCACCAACATGTTGGAGACACTACCAGAGAGAGAGAGGTGAGGATGATCCAGCAAGACTGGACTTGTATTCACCTTGAGTAGTTTGGATATCGAGGATATCATGTATGAAAGGCCCCTAGGAGCTAGTGATCATGTGGGTCTGTGCTTTGACTACATAGTTGAGCTTCAAGTGGAGAGAGTAGCAGGAATAGGATGGGAAAAACCAAACTACAGAAGGGGGGACTGCTCAGGCTTGAGGAGCTTCCTGGAAGACATTCAGTGGGAGAGGGAACTGACAGGAAAACCAGTACAAGAAATGATGGACTATGTGACAACAAAATCAAGGAGGCAAAGGAGAGGTTTGTTCCTAAGGGAAACAGAGATAATGGGAAGAACAGAACGAGTCCTTGGTTTACCCAAAGGTGTAGGGAGGCAAAAACTAGGTGTACTAGAGAATGGAAAAGGCACAGAAGATAAAGAACTCAGGAAAATAAAGAGATTAGCTGAAGAGCCAGAAACGAATATGCATAGACAAGAAGGGAGGCTCAGCGACAATACGAAAATGACATAGCATAGAAAGTCAAGTCTGACCCAAAGCTGTTGTATAGCCACATCAGGAGGAAAACAACAGTCAAGGACCAGGTAATCCGACTGTGGAAGGGTGATAGGGAGTTCACAAGAAACAACCGAGAGGTACGTGAAGAGCTCAACACGAGATTTAAATAAGTATTTACAGTGGAAACAGGTAGGACAAGAGGAAATCAGAACAGGGAGGCACACCAAGTGCTGGATGAGGTACACATAATCAAGGAGGAGGTGAAGAAGCTGCTATGTGAACTTGACACCTCAAAGGCAGTGGGCCCAGACAACATCTCTCCATGGGTCCTTAGAGAGGGAGCAGAGATGCTGTGTGTGATATTAACAAAGATATTCAACACATCCATTGAAACTGGGCAACTCCCTGAGGTATGGAGGATGGCAAATGTAGTCCAAATTTTTAAAAAAGGAGACAGACATGGTGGAGCACCTGGAAAGAAACAGTTGTATAATCGGCAACCAACACGGTTTCAGGGAAGGAAAATCCTGTGTCACAAACCTACTGGAGTTTTATGACAAGGTGACAGAAGTAAGACAAAAGAGAGAGGGATAGATAGACTGCGTTTTCTTGGACTGCAAGAAGGCCTTCGACACAGTTCCTCACAAGAGGTTACTGCGGAAGCGAGAAGATCAGGCACACATAACAGGAAAGACACTGCAATGGATCAGAGAATATCTGACAGGGAGGCAACAACGAGTCATGGTACGTGGCGAGGTGTCAGAGTGGGCGCCTGTGACAAGCGGAGTTCCACAGGGGTCAGTCCTAGGACCTGTGCTGTTTTTGGTATATGTGAATGACATAATGGAAGGGATAGACTCAGGAAATGAGGAAAATCAAATCGGTCGAGGATCAGGCAGGACTACAAAGAGCCCTGGACAAGCCAAGTCCAGCAACTGGCTCCTTGAGTTTAACCCTGCCAAATGCAAAGTCATGAAGATTGGGGAAGGGCAAAGAAGACCGCAGACACAGTATAGTCTAGGTGGCCAAAGACTGCAAACCTCACTCAAGGAAAAAAATCTGGGGGTGAGTATAACACCGAGCACATCTCCTGAGGCGCATATCAATCAGACAACTGCTGCAGCGTACGGGCGTCTGGCAGACCTAAGGATAGCGTTCCGATACCTCAGTAAGGAATCGTTCAAGACTCTGTACACCATTTACTTCAGGCCCATACTGAAGTATGCAGCACCAGTTTGGAAACCACACCTGGTCAAGCACGTCAAGATATTAGAGAAAGTGCAAAGGTTTGCAACAAGCCTAGCCCCAGAGCTAAGGGGATTGTCCTACGAAGAAAGGTTAAGGGAAATCGGCTTGACGACACTGGAGGACAGGAGGGTCAGGAGAGACTTCTGCGCAGAATAGACAAGGTGGACAAAGACAGGATGTTCCAGAGATGGGACACAGAAACAAGAGGTCACAATTGGAAATTGAAGACTCAGATAAATCAAAGGGATATTAGGAAGTATTTCTTCAGTCATAGAGTAGTCAGGCAGTGGAATAGCCTAGAAAGTGAGGTAGTGGAGGCGGGATCCATACATAGTTTTAAGACGAGGTTTGATAAAGCTCATGGAGCAAAGAGAGAGAGGACCTAGTAGCAGTCAGTGAAGAGGCGGGGCCAGGAGCTATGACTCGGCCCCTGCAACCATAAATAGGTGAGCAAATAGGTGAGTACACACACACACACACACACACATATCCCCCGTGGGTTGACTTGCATAGTTAAGATCGCCTGTCTGCGATTGTTTGCATAAATATATATATATATATATATATATATATATTAATATATATATATAATATATATATATATATATATATATATATAATATATATATATATATATATATATATATATATATATATATAAAGGGGGTAAGGGGGTAAGGCAGCCGGGATTGATGGGATAAAGATAAAAATGTTAAAAGCAGGTGGGGATATAGTTTTGGAGTGGTTGGTGCAATTATTTAATAAATGTATGGAAGAGGGTAAGGTACCTAGGGATTGACAGAGAGCATGCATAGTTCCTTTGTATAAAGGCAAAGGGGACAAAAGAGAGTGCAAAAATTATAGGGGGATAAATTTGTTGAGTGTACCTGGTAAAGTGTATGGTAGAGTTATTATTGAAAGAATTAAGAGTAAGACGGAGAATAGGATAGCAGATGAACAAGGAGGCTTTAGGAAAGGTAGGGGGTGTGTGGACCAGGTATTTACAGTGAAACATATAAGTGAACAGTATTTAGATAAGGCTAAAGAGGTCTTTGTGGCATTTATGGATTTGGAAAAGGCGTATGACAGGTGGATAGGGGGGAAATGTGGCAGATGTTGCAGGTGTATGGTGTAGGAGGTAGGTTACTGAAAGCAGTGAAGAGTTTTTACGAGGATAGTGAGGCTCAAGTTAGAGTATGTAGGAAAGAGGGAAATTATTTCCCAGTAAAAGTAGGCCTTAGACAAGGATGTGTGATGTCACCGTGGTTGTTTAATATATTTATAGATGGGGTTGTAAGAGAAGTAAATGCGAGGGTCTTGGCAAGAGGCGTAGAGTTAAAAGATAAAGAATCACACATAAAGTGGGAGTTGTCACAGTTGTTCTTTGCTGATGACACTGTGCTCTTTGGAGATTCTGAAGAGAAGTTGCAGAGATTGGTGGATGAATTTGGTAGGGTATGCAAAAGAAGAAAATTAAAAGTGAATACAGGAAAGAGTAAGGTTATGAGGATAACAAAAAGATTAGGTGATGAAAGATTGGATATCAGATTGGAGGGAGAGGGTATGGAGGAGGTGAATGTATTCAGATATTTGGGAGTGGACGTGTCAGCGGATGGGTCTATGAAAGATGAGGTGAATCATAGAATTGATGAGGGGAAAAGGGTGAGTGGTGCACTTAGGAGTCTGTGGAGACAAAGAACTTTGTCCTTGGAGGCAAAGAGGGGAATGTATGAGAGTATAGTTTAACCAACGCTCTTATATGGGTGTGAAGCATGAATGATGAATGTTGCAGCGAGGAGAAGGCTGGAGGCAGTGGAGATGTCATGTCTGAGGGCAATGTGTGGTGTGAATATAATGCAGAGAATTCGTAGTTTGGAAGTTAGGAGGAGGTGCGGGATTACCAAAACTGTTGTCCAGAGGGCTGAGGAAGGGTTGTTGAGGTGGTTCGGACATGTAGAGAGAATGGAGCGAAACAGAATGACTTCAAGAGTGTATCAGTCTGTAGTGGAAGGAAGGCGGGGTAGGGGTCGGCATAGGAAAGGTTGGAGGGAGGGGGTAAAGGAAGTTTTGTGTGCGAGGGGCTTGGACTTCCAGCAGGCATGCGTGAGCGTGTTTGATAGGAGTGAATGGTTTTTAATACTTGACGTGCTGTTGGAGTGTGAGCAAAGTAACATTTATGAAGGGATTCAGGGAAACCGGCAGGCCGGACTTGAGTCCTGGAGATGGGAAGTACAGTGCCTGCACTCTGAAGGAGGAGTGTTAATGTTGCAGTTTAAAAACTGTAGTGTAAAGCACCCTTCTGGCAAGACAGTGATGGAGTGAATGATGGTGAAAGTTTTTCTTTTTCGGGCCACCCTGCCTTGGTGGGAATCGGCCAGTGTGATAATAAAATAAATATATATATATATATATATATATATATATATATATATATATATTATATATATATATATATATATATATATATATATATATATATATATTATATATATATATATATATATATATATATATATATATATATATATATATATATATATATATATATGTATATCTGGAAATGGGAAGTACAATGCCTGCACTTTAAAGGAGGGGTTTGGGATATTGGCAGTTTGGAAGGATATGTTGTGTATCTTTATATGTGTATGCTTCTAAACTGTTGTATTCTGAGCACCTCTGCAAAAACAGTGATAATGTGTGAGTGTGGTGAAAGTGTTGAATGATGATGAAAAATATTTCTTTTTGGGGATTTTCTTTCCTTTTTGGGTCACCCTGCCTCGGTGGGAGACGGCCGACTTGTTGAATATATATTATATATATATATATATATATATATATATAATATATATATATATATATATATATATATATATATATATTATATATATATATGTATGTATTTATAATAAATATCTTTTTCTTTACCTTTACATTGAAGAAGCTTTTAAACATTTTTCTTTCAACATTGCAGTATGCTCAACCGGAATGTTTGTTTGATAAGTGCTGGTGTCCTGGAACACTCACCTTCAACAGAAGACTTAATGTTTGTGAGCCAGCAAGAGAGCCATCAGTAGTTCCTGAAGGTGTGTATCGTATGGACTTATATATTATAGAATTACCTTTTCAATTTATTCATTCTTTCGCGTGATGTTGAAAGAAAACTTGAACGCCTTTACAGTTTCCTTGATTGTCATCTATCTTCCGTATATTCACCACCTTCGTGAGTTACTGGAACTATTCAACCAAACTTCGTGGTAAATTTCTTTCTTCTATGTCCGGGTTATATGCGTAGTATAGTGTATAAATATTTATTTTGTCTGTGTTTTCATTATAATTTCCATAATTTAAAGTCATTTATTTTTCAAAATGTGTTTGGCCTATTCCTTTTCTCTTTGTATCTTAGTAAGCTTGCATAGTTTCCTTCAAATGTTGTTTCATTTTTTTTAATTTAGTTTCTGTTAGCCACATTGTCAGATTTCTTCTCATTAATGATACAGTTCATTTGTTCTAATCATTTGATTTCGCTGTAAAAAAAATTAAAAATTTTGATATTAGTCATTCCTACTCCTTATTTGTTATGATTGCATTTATGTGGTTCCTTTACGTTTGTTTACTTGTATTCTCATGAGACAGGAAGGTCTTGTTACTCTTACTGAAAAAAAATCCTTGTCTCACTAATTTCATTTTTTTAATTTTATATCAGTTTCTAGAATTTTTGTATATAACTGATATACTGTAACCATTTGTCAGTATTGTTTTGTACCTAACTACGTTCATAAGTTCTTCTTTATCCTGCTATCATTTGTATCATATTTGCTAATATGCATATTTAATACTGTATGATCTTGCTAACTTGACAGTTTCCATAATTTTGTTTCTCTGATTTTGAAATTATCTATCTCAAATGAGCTAAAATATATTATTATTTTAGTGTCATCAGTATATTTCAACAGCTTATAGATATTTGCAGTTATCGTTTTAGTATTTGTGTTTATCTTCTTTTCCTTTTGTAACTAATTACGCTCGTATGGTTCTTCCCGATTTAGGAGTTACTGGAGTCAGCCTCTCTTTCTTGTATTCTTATTATCTGGCTTATATTGCCTTCATTTTTCTCTTTCTGTTTCATAATATTTATTGCTGTCAGCCGTCTCTTTAGATCTATCTATAATTTGTTTACCTTTTTTTATCATTATTTATTTGATGTATTTCTGATTGTACTATTTTTTGGAGTACTAATTTCCACTATTACGGTTTTCATTTTGTGACTTATTTATGGGTCTCTGTTTTATTTTGGATAACTCAACAATGACATATTCCTGTTTAATTTTGTGTGCTACTGGTTGTTTCAGATTTTTAACGAATGTTGATTGTTTTCAAAACCTGAGAAAAATATTTTCGGGTTTATTGTCTAACATTGTTTGACTGGTCTGGGTTCCAGCTCCTGGCCCTCTTGAAGGTGTTGATCTACAGCCCCTGCTCTTTTGACGGTTTTTGATTGGCATCTCTTGGACTTTTTGAGGATAATAAGCTACGTATGCTGGACTTACGGAGTGTGTTGAGCTGAAACTCCTAGGCCGTTTAAAAGGTGACGGTCTCCAACATCTAGACTTCTCTGGTGAATTGGCTTATTGTTCGTAGATCTTTCTAGGGAGCTGATCTTTAGATGCTCATGGATCATCAGATTGTAATTATTTGGAATGCTAAATCTGCATTAGTTCATTCAGCACAAAGAGCGGCAGAGGCTTGATCCTCCGTCTGATACCCGCGAGACAGACATGCTACATACTCACCTAGTTTAGTCGTGCTAGCTTCTCAGGGTTTCGAGATAATATTTTTATATCTTCTGCATGTACTGAGGCACTGGGAGCTAAGTGATATGATTGATACCCCTCTCTCGGATCCTCGGTGACTAGAAAATAACCTCAGATTTTCATGGCAGGAAATTCAGAGTAAATGACTAGTAAACTCTAGCATCAGGTACCCCTCATCTTACGTGATAGATGGATTCTATATCAGAAAGACAGTAGTGGTTTTCAGCTGTCCCTCAAAGAATCCTCCATAACTGATTATTTTGAAACTTGCTATGCTAGGAAATATGCTAGAAAAACCCATTTTAAAAATTTTTATTTAATTTTTTTAAAAAGTTTATTTTTTTTTTAAATAGCTCTGTCACATAAAATAAAGAAGATCTCCTAAGCAGGTAAGTAAGAAAAATTAACATGATGAATATGTAGGGTGTAACACAACAGATTTATTAACATTTTGCAGCGAACATCAGTGTGTTTTATATAACACAAAACGAAATAACAAGTTGTTGTTATTAATGTCAACTTGGAAACTGCCTTGAAACTACTGGCTGTAGAGTTGCCAATTAAACAATAATCTTTCACTAAATCGCTCAGCCTCTTAATTTGATAAAAATCAATACAAAACCATCGTAACAAAAATAAGGAATATTATACTTATGAACAAATCTTAATTAAGTACAAAATTAAATATTACAGTATCACAACGAACCTCTTTTACACACACACCAGGGTCAAATTTTCAATAGCCCACAGTTAAACCCTTACTAATTAGAACACAAATATATGTACCAACTACCATATTAAAAGACTGTACCCTACAGAGATGAATATTAAAAAGGTATAAAATACAAACAGGTTGTTAGGTAAGACACATATACAACAGTTAGGTATCTTTATTTCGAAACGTTTCGCCTACACAGTAGGCTTCTTCAGTCGAGTACATGAAAGTTGGTAGAAGCAGAAGAGATGTGAAGACGATGTATTCAGTCCATCACCGGTGAAGATCTAGTTTTGAGGTGGTCAGTCCCTCAACCTGGAGAAGATTATTTGTTCCATAGTCTGAAGCAATGTGAAGTTGAAGTGACAGTATGGAGCCTTATATACTGTCAGGAGGTGAGATGTAGGCCACTAGTAGAAGCAAGAATGTAAACATTGAGAGGTCACGTCCCTCTCAAATCCAACCATTCTCACTAGTAGAAGTTATCCAAGGTGTTTTCTGTTCTGTATCAAGATACCATTGTGTTACAGCTCTGACAATGAACCAGGATCTCTAAAAAATGTTTCCAGAACCTTGTTGAATTCATGCCATGAAGAATTGAGGCTGTTCTGGAGGCAAAGGTGGCCCTACGCATTACTTCATGGGTGTGCCTAACAACGTGGCCATGGAGTGTAGAGAGATGCCCTCAATGATTGAAAAATTATTTGCTCGATTTTATCCTTCATGGAGATTTCAACCTTGCGAATGCTAAATAAATGATGGTAGACACATCAGTGTTCCCAAAATAATACTGGGAAGCACATTATCTCAGTTGAGCTATTGAAGCTCTCGATTTTCTTTGAACCAACAGATAACAGAACCTTCTAGATATGAAAATGCACTTTCTTAGATTTTCACTATCAGTGAGGCACTAATCACAGATATAACATTCTTAAATACAATTTGTTTTGATCACAATCGCAATGAAGTATTGACAAGCATAAATTCATCAGTAGAGATCCATAGAAATAGCCAAAGTGAATGTAAGTTCAGAAAATTTAGCTTAAACATTCAGAGAATTGGCTGTAACAAAATAAACAAAAGAAATATCAAACATTCCTGGAAAATCAACTCAAGCAACCTTAACACACACAGTTGTATCAACAAGCTGTGTAGAGAAGCACACAAGCTGTGTACAGAAGCACACAAGCTGTGTACAGAAGCACACAAGCTGTGTACAGAAGCACACAAGCTGTGTACAGAAGCACACAAGCTGTGTACAGAAGCACACAAGCTGTGTACAGAAGCACACAAGCTGTGTACAGAAGCACACAAGCTGTGTACAGAAGCACACAAGCTGTGTACAGAAGCACACAAGCTGTGTACAGAAGCACACAAGCTGTGTACAGAAGCACACAAGCTGTGTACAGAAGCACACAAGCTGTGTACAGAAGCACACAAGCTGTGTACAGAAGCAACAAGCTGTGTACAGAAGCACACAAGTGTTGCGTAAAAGTAAGTTACACCGAGAATGTCTACAAGGATGTCTGGTATTCAAATAAAATTTTTATTTATTTTTATGCGGTACAAAAATAATAAAATAATACATCATTAGGCAAAAAAAGAAAGGCACTAGCATGCAGTGCAAAATAATGTAAAGAAGAAACAAATAAGAGCCATTGCATTGTTTTAAAATAAGCAAATGTCACAACATAGGATAGAAAATCTACACAGAGAGAATCTCAGACATCAAATAGTTTAGACTCAGAATCTGATAAGGGTAAATAAGCAATGTATTGTGTGGTATTGTAGCTCGAAATGTCTCTTCCACAGATGACATTAACCTGGCCCCTCAGCCATATTGTAGTGCGGCGAAATGCACCTGTCCTCTGGGATACAAATACAACTCAGCCTCGGATTCTTGCGAGTCTGTAGCAAGTGGTAAGTTGTTATTTAACTGAATATTGCAAAGGTAAATAATTGTTCAATATGGAATTTTACTCTTTACTTATGGAATATGTACTGCTTTATATTTTATACTTAAATAGCTTCGGGTAATTTTAAAGTGATTTTTAATGTTATGTTAAAGTGATAGTGAGGAAAAGGTATGGTGATACCAACAAGATGTGATAATGTTATTTTGCACAGAATATATACTCTGATGGGTGTCCTTTTATCAGCGTATATAAGCTAAGACTTTAACCCTTGTTTCAGGGATTAAAGTTTTCTTGCCTTGTGGTAAAAAGGTTACCGTGGAGCTTTAATGACAGGCTTTAAACCGCATTAACCAACCATATCTTGGAAACTACTGAAAATTTGCTATCGGGTTTCTATAAATAGATCTTAAAATACGAGTCTGTGATGTACACCTGGGGTATACCTGGAGAGGGTTTCGGGGGTTAACGCCCCCACGGCCCGGTCTGAGACCAGGCCTCATGGTGGCCGCACGCAAACTGACATACGAAGCACAGCCCAGCTGATCAGGTACTGAATGTAGATGAATGATTCAGAGAACTGACAAGTTGATAAATCAGACACATGTGCAACACTTGGGTATTTTTAGTGAGGAAACGTTTCGCCACACCGTGGCTTCATCAGTCCATACAAAGAAGAACGGTTCTTCACCGTTCTCCTTTGTATGGACTGATGACATCGCTGTGTGGCGAAACGTTTTCTCATTAAAGATTCCCAAGTGTTGCACATGTGTCTGATTTATCATCTCAGGTACTGACTTTAGGTGCCTGTCCAGTGCCTTCTTGAAGACAGCCAGGGGTCTATTGGTAATCCCCTTTATATATGCAGGGAGGCAGTTGAACAGTCTTGGGCCCCTGACACTTATTGTGTTGTCTCTCATTGTATTCGTGGCACCCCTGCTTTTCATTGGGGAAATGTTGCATCTCCTGCCGAGTCTTTTGTTTTCATTTTCGTGTGCAAGTTTGGTACTAATCCTTCTAGGATTTTCCAAGTGTATCTCATGTATTTCTCTCGCCCGGGTTCCAGGGAATACAAATCATGGGACTTCAACCGTTTCCAGTAATTTATGTGCTTTATCGCACTTAAGTATGCCGTGGAAGTTTTTTGTACACTCTCCAGGTCAGAAATTTCGCCTGCCTTGCAAGGGGAAGTTGGTGTACAGCAGTATTCAAGCCTAGAGAGGACAAGCGACTTGAAGAGAATCATCACGGGCTTTGCGTCCCTAGTTTTGTGGGTTATTATTATCCATCCTATCATTTTTCTAGCAGATGCGGTAAATGCATTGTTGTGGTCTTTGAAGGTGAGATCCTCTGACATTATCACTCCCAGGCCCTTCACGTTACTTTTTTGTTCTATTGTATGGTTAGAATTTGTTGTATATCCCGATACAGTTTTAATTTCCTTAATTTTTCTGTATCTGAGTTGTTGAATTTTTTTCATTGAATTTCGTATTGTTTTCAGTGGCGCATTTGAAGATTTGGTTGATGTCCGCTTGGAGTTTGCGGTGTCTTCGATGGACACAGTAAGACTCCTAGTGTCATCCGCAAAAGAAAGACACGGAGCTATGGTTTATATCTCTGTCTATGTCAGATATGAGGATGAGGAATATAATGGGAGCGAATACAGTGACTTATGGAACTGAGCTTCTCACCGACTTTTCCACAGACTTTACACTGTTTATTGTTAATTGTTGTGTTCTATATGTTAGGAAGTTAATTATAGATTCATCTTCCAACTTTTTTTGTTATTCCTTTGTCACACATTTTGTGCGCTATTACACCGTGGTCGCACTTGTCGAAGGCATTTGCATTTTGTTTATCCTCTATAGTATCCAGGACCTTGTAATAGTGGCCCAGTAGCTGGGACAGGCAGGAGTGACCTGCTGTAAACCCGTGTTGCCTTGGGTTGTGTAACTGATGGGTATCTAGATGGTTGGCGATCTTGCTTCTTAGAACCCTTTCAAAGACTTTCATGACATGGGATGCTAGTGCTATCAGTCTGTAGTTCTTTGCAAATGCATTACTGCCACCTTTGTAGAGTGGGGCTTTGTGGGTGTGGGATGACCCCTGTGTCTATGCTCCTTCTCCATAGAATGCTGAAGACGGAGTTCCATGAGTCCTGGCCTGTGGCATGGGCATGTCATTTATTGCCTTTTCAAAGTCTTGTGGTGCTTTGATAATATCAGAGATTTTTCAGATGGTCAAATTTTGGGTCTCGTTCGAAACAAGGTGTTCTGAAAGGTTGTAAAGACGTGAAATTGAAATATGTCTACCGTTAATTGATTTTGTACACAGAACTGCTTTCGTATTTTTATTATAGTTGTCATTATAGACCAGTAAGCCTAACCTCCATAGTGGGAAAATTTATGGAATCAATAATTGCCGAGGCAGTTCGTAGCCACCTTGAAAAGCACAAATTAATCAACGAATCTCAGCATGCTTTTACAAAAGGGCGTTCCTGCCTTATAAATTTATTAACTTTTTTCACTAAGGTACTTGAGGAGGTAGATCATGGTAATGAATATTGTGTATATGGACTTCAGTAAGGCTTTTGACAGGGTCCCACATCAGAGACTATTGAGGAAAATTAAGGCACATGGAATAGGAGAAGAATTTTTTTCCTGGATGGAGGCATGGTTGACAAATAGGCAGCAGAGAGTTTGCATAAATGGGGAGAAATCAGAGTGGGGAAGCGTCACGAGCGGTGTTCCACAGGGGTCAGTGTTGGGTTCCCTGTTGTTCACAATCTACATAAACGACATTGATGAGGGCATAAAGAGCGACATAAGCAAGTTTGCTGATGACACCAAAATAGGCCGTCCAATTCATTCTGACGAGGACATTAGAGCACTCCAGGAAGATTTGAATAGACTGATGCAGTGGTCGGAGAAGTGGCAGATGCAGTTTAATATAGACAAATGCAAAGTTCTAAATGTTGGACAGGAAAATAACCATGCCACATATAAACTAAATAATGCCGATCTTAATATTACGGATTGCAAAAAGGATTTAGTTCTGGTGAGCAGTAATTTGAAACAAGACAACAGTGCATAAGTGTTCGCAATAAAGCTAACAGAATCCTTGGCTTCATATCAAGAAGCATAAATAATAGGAGGCCTCAGGTTGTTCTTCAACTCTATATATCCTTGGTTAGACCTCATTTAGATTATGCTGCACTGTTTTGGTCACCGTATTACAGAATGGATATAAATGCTCTAGAAAACGTACAAAGGAGAATGACAAAGTTGATCCCATGTATCAGAAATCTTCCCTATGAGGATAATCTGTGGACCCTGAATCTGCACTCTCTAGAAAGGCATAGAATTAGGGGGGATATGATTGAGGTGTATAAATGGAAGACAGGAATAAATAAAGGGGATGTAAATAAAGTGCTGAAAATATCTGGCCTAGACAGGACTCGTAGCAATGGTTTTAAGTTCGAAAAATTCAGATTCAGGAAGGATATAGGAAACACTGGTTTGGTAATGGAGTTGTGGATGAGTGGAACAAACTCCCAAGTACAGTTATTGAGGCTAAAACGTTGTGTAGTTTTAAAAATAGGTTAGATAAATACATGAGTGGGTATGGGTGGGTGTGAGTTGGACCTGATTAGCTTGTGCTACTAGGTCAGTTGCCGTGTTCCTTCCTTAAGTGAATGTGACCTGACCTGACTAGGTTGGGGCATTGGCTTAAGCCGGTAGGAGACTTGGACCTGCCTCGTATGGGCCAGTAGGTCTGTTGCAGTGTTCCTTCTTGCTTATGTTCTTATGTTCTTATTATATAGAAAACAATGTTATATACTGGATACTTTATAAAACAATATATGAATTACATATGCTTAAGAAGATCTAACGACAACAATTAGTCCATCGTATTAAATTCTCTAAAATATGTAAATTCTGAATGCTGAGCTAATGCACTATTTTTAATTCTCATTTTACCCTTCTCATCTTTTTTTTTACGGGGCCTTGACACAGTTGAAGAACGGCCGCTGCCAGAATGTTTCTTGGGCAAATGTTCCTGCCCTAAGGGCTACACCTATGACTACAACCACCATGACTGTTATCCTAGCAGCAAACCTGGCTACGACTACAACACTGAGGAAGGAGCAAGCAGAGATAAAACTGGTAGTAACGGTTATTAATGTCAAGGAGCGAGAGGCTGTGTTAGTGTTCGGTTCTGTCATTTACATAAAGAATACAAAGTTTGCATTAACTTGACGAGTAATAAGTTTTTTTCTTATGCATTTCTCGGATAATTTTCTCTTCTCATTAGTATTTTTTTTCATCCAATTTAGAAACTATCCCTTGTAGCAATGCTTGTTGTAGAAGGCGATTGAAACTACCAAAAGCAATGGGCTAAATATTCTTCATCATTTAATAACGAAACACTCAACGATTGACATCTTAACGATGGTCTGTTTAAGTGTGAACTGTTGTATTACATTCATGAAAAAACTGTTGATGCAATGAATGGAAGAAACAGTTTGTTCTGTTCTTGGGTAGAACACAATGAAGGGGTTACAGCTAAAATTTGAAGTTATCCACTGAGTTTAGTCAAGTGTATCTGAAACAGTGAGATTAAATATTGAGAGGAGCTATACATTACATATCAAGGAACCGCCCTTGAGGGAAGAGATTTATGGTGATGTTTAGTGATTTATAAGACAGTTTCAAGCCAAGCGACTGGATTCCTATATACTTTAAAGTAAATGTAGAAGATGCTACCATGTAAACTGAAGTCAGAAAGTTTAAATGCCTGACACTAACATCATTAGAGACCTTCCATTGAATTATGCTTAGAAAACAGTACATATAAAATAAAAGTTTCAAGAAAAAATGAGAAGAAACATATAAATTGGCATACAGATTACTCACAACTACGGCTACTCTCTAACACTTCATTTTTCCGAATGAAGTTTCACAAATTACCCCTAATCTAGGCTATTTAGTTTAAACGTATGAATTTAATGTAAGTCCACCATATCTCTGCCAATCCTTTTGCGACCCTTAGTAACCTAGTCAACTTCGCTTAAGTGTTCTAGAGTCAATTGCACTACACACTCAGTACCACGTCTACTTAACATCACAATTCTACATTTGTTATACCTGCTAGGATCTGAATAAAGAGTTAGAGAGAAAGAAATGGTCACATAACTGATCTTGGATTTAGCAGCTAAAAAGCGAGAGGAGAGATGTTAGTAGACTAGAAAGATCAGGATATTTTGTCGAGTTGTTGAAGGTCTGTCATGATGGAGAGGCAGTAATTTCATTCAAGGGGAAAGGAGGGACAAAGCTGTATAGGAGTGAGGAGGAGCCTGAGGTAGACGTGGGAAAAGTGCATGAGTAGAATGAAAGAGGATAAAGTGGCTGGGAAACAGGGTTAACACAGAGTTGTTAAAAGCTTTGTGGGGATACAGTGTTGGAGAAATTGGTGTGTTTGTTCAATATATGTATGAAAGATGGAAATATACCCAAAGACTGACAGAGCATGCATGGTTTCCTTGTATAAGGGAAAAGGGGACAAGAGAGAATGTAAAAATTATAGGGGGATTAGTGTGCTGAGCGTGTCTGGTAAGGTTAATGGCAGAATTATTATTGAAAGGGGTTAGAAGTAAGTTAAAATAATGAGAGCAGAGTAGCAGGGAGGATTTTGGAAGGTTAGAGGATGTGCATACCATGTGTTTACACTGAAATATGTAAGTGAGCAGTAATTTGATAAGAGTAAAGAGCTATATGTGGCATTCTAGGAATTAAATAAAGAACTTATGATAGGAGAGTAATGTAGCAGGTTGTTTCAGATGTTAGGGAATGTATTATAGTAGGACTTAGACAGGAAGAAGCCCAAGGACTCATTCTCAATCCCTCTAAGAGTGAAATCATCACAACAAGTAGGAAAATAATTGCAGCTGTGCGAACAGTAGTTCCTGAAGCCTCAACTACCACCCCGTCCACGGGCATTCTATAGTAGGAACATTGCTGGGTCAACAACAACAGGTCCTCAAGGACAAACTCATTGACCTGAAGAGAATGGAGGAGAGAATAAGTGACTATGACGACCTGTATCTCCTCATAAGGTGTCTAACTCTGCCAAGACTACTTCTCGTGAATATGACTCATGAATATGACGCACTCCTGAGATATCTTTATGAAGGCACTGAATCTGTCCCTGGAATATCACATATGGGATCAAGCAACTTTTCCAGTTCGATGAGGAGGGTATAGGAGAGCACAGAGTAACACAGGTAGCATTACTTGCATTTCTGTTTATAGTGTATGGCTTCCAGCGACCTAGTAAAGAAGACTGTCTCCGAACGCTTGAGAGGTGCTGTAGGAGCTCAAGACTTAAAATTTGTGGAAGCAAAGACGAAGGGTAACAGCCTTGCAGATTCTTCAACCAAAGCAGCTCCTCCCAGAGAGCACAAACAGACCGCCCTGGACAAACCGATCGTGGAAAAAAATCTCTAACACAGTTCTGAACAAGGTCTCTGGAAAGGACAAAGCTCGTTTCCTAGCGGTGAGTGCACTAGTTTCAGAAAATTTCCTTCTAGCATTTCTCAATTCCTCCTTTTTCACTCGGCTCAACCTGCAGACCATTCGGACTGGTGTAGCTCTTTGCCTAGCCGCCTCCATACTCACCAAACATAGGTGCATTTGCAGCAGAGCGTCATTTCATCAATTTGGATTACATGGCTTCGTCCGTCATACATCAGAAGGAAAGTATGCAAGACATGAATATGTCAATGACATTAATGAAGTCTTGCCACTGCCCGTTTCCTAACAGAATGGGAACCTCAAGTCTTGAGGTCTGATGGAAGACAAAAGCGTCCAAATGGAGTCACCATTGCTACCTTTGAAGGATGGTAAGCATATTGCATGGGACTATACTGTGCCTCTGCGTTGACTGACACCTACTTGCCATGCCCTGAAGCTGAAGGGGTGGGGCCACCAGTTTCAGGGACACACAGAAGATTAACAAATACAGAGGGCTACAACCATGGTATAACTTCGTCCCAGTAAAGTCGGCAACCCTCGGAGCTTGGAGCAAAGTGAAACACTCATAACAGAAACCAAGGATGCCAGAGCGGCCAGCTTCATCTTTCAAAGACTCAGTGTTATTATCCAGAGGGAAAATGCCTGTATCATTCTGGGCAAACTATATATCGCATATTTATGTTGTTTCATTCTGGTCTCAAGATATTTGCCAGTTTGCCCTAAATAAAAAGTATAACAACATTCACATGGGATGGAGTATACACAATCTACAGAGTCTTAGGGAGAATTTTTAATTAATTTTGTTTTACAGTATTGTTATATTTAAAGACAACTTTAACATTAAAGTATTCACGAGCTTGTGGGAGGTGAGAGAGATTTTCATTGTATGGTAAAACCAACAAATTCTCAAGCTTGTACTCGGTATTAGTCATTTTTACGCCGAATGTTTTTTTTTTTTTTTTAGCTTTATGAAAAGTTTTATCAATAAATGTTCGTGGATATCATAAATTAAAGGAATTTCATAGATTTTTTCCAAATTCCCCATCAAGTAATTCAGGGCTACAAATCCTAGGGGCTCTCAAAAACATAGCAGATACACTGTTTAATATGTGTTCGGTGATACGAATAGTATTGTTTGTATGAATATATGTTAGTAGGCTTGCGATAAACATTGAACTTAAATGTTTTACCAGATCTATGAATACGTATATTCAGGAATGAAATTATTCCATTTACCTCAACGTTATTGCAAGCCTACTAACATGTTACTGTGCGAATCATACATACATTACTATTCGAATCATATATAAACTACTATTCATACATGCTATCCATTCATGCATTCACTATTATTCGAGCCCTTAGGATTTGTAGCCCTTAATTCTGTGATAGGGGAAATTAGAAAATATATGAAATTGCTTCTAATTTGCAATATCCACAGACACTTGTTGATAAAGCTTTTCATAAAGAAAAAAAAATTCTACAAGACAGTGCCTAATACTGATTATAAGCTTGAGAATTTACTGGTTTTACCATACAAAGAGAATTTCCCTCACCTCCCTCAAGCTCTTAAATATTTTTTTCTATTACAACTAATCCTACCACCCATGGAGGTTCTCTGGTACTGGTGAAAGTCTTTTCAGTCATATAATTTGAGATATTTTTCCCTACTTCAACTCAGATATGAGGAAAAAGGTTGGACAAACAGTGGGAGGGAATAATTAGTTTTGAGATTATGCTTTGTATTGGCCAGTAGGCCTACCTCAGGGTTCCTTCATTCTTATATTCTTAATACCTCCTATTCCCCTGCCACAGTACAGTAATGTATGTTAAAGATCAATCATTATCAGTTTCTACTGCATGACAAATTCACTAATGCGTTACAAACAGTATATAATAAATTTTCCACAAGTTTTGCAACTTTAAGGTGAGAATTGTTAGTACAACTGATCGTAGCAACTGTGTGAAGTGTAAAGTGAGACAATTTTTTGCATCAAAGTGAATTTAATGTATACACTATTTGCAAAAATCGAGTATCCATTGCGAAAACTTAAAAGAGCTCATTTCTCATACTTGTATCGTAAAGGTGAAATAACCAATGTCTTAACTCCTTGTTTAAATCCTGTAATAGATTTTAAAAAACATGTTTCATGTTTCATATCCAAGGTTCCTGCAATGAAGTCAACAACTGCCACCCCAACGCCCAGTGCATATATGACAGCTATTCCCAGACTTATTCATGCCAGTGCGATGCTGGATTTGATGGAAATGGCTTCTACTGCAACGAGCTGGGTAAGTATTTCGTATCACTGGAGAATGATTAGAAATATTGAACTTTGTAGAAATGATCTTCCTCTTTGAATAACAGCGGAGATGAAGCTGGAAAAAAACAAAACTACTTGAAGTATATGTATGCGATCTTTAGTATATTTTGCTAGTACAATGGTATTTTGCCTGTAGTATTTCCTCTAATGGTAGAAGTTAGTTGTTAAAATAAGTATTTGAAGGGCATGGTAAGAAATCAGGTGATACATGAAATACTGGCTCAGTAGTAAGTGTAGAGCGAGCATGTTTAATAGACAGGTGCTTTATTAGGTACGTGTAGAGCATGATGAGAGGAAGGATACGTAACATAGCAGAAAGGGAAAGGGAGGAAGAGAAAGCTAGAGCAGGAACAAACGGAGACGAGAAAAGGGAAGAAATTAGCCTAGACGAAAGTGAACAAGAGAACTCAGATCAGGTGGCAGAACTTGGGAACGACACAAATCAGTAAATATAGGTAGTCAGAACATTTGCAGATACTATGCAAAAGGTATGTGCCTATATGGTAGAGATTGCTGGAATAAACACACAAGAAAATGTACCAACATGTTGGGGAAGGGAAAGTGTCGTTTCAACAGAGTGCAGCAGGTGCTTCCATCCAGTAATGTGTAAAGCCTCAACACATTCCAGAGAATATTATGACCTGAGCTGCCCATACCACCATATAAAAGGAACGCTACGCTATGGAGTTAGCAGAGAAAGGGAAATTGAACAGCAATCGCTTTTAGACAAAAAGAGAAAAGATCGAACCAAAGGAAGAGACAAACAGGGGAATGGTACAGAGAGGGCAGCTGGGCAACAAAATGGGGCGTACCAAACCAGGCATCAGCCCATCAAGGACGAATAAGCAACCAAACGTAAAGCCAGTACTGGAGAAACCAGGGGCGTGTACACCAGGGGACATACCAGGTAGTACATCACCAGTGGTACTAACGAAACACAAAGCGAGACAAAACATCCCAATGGTAATTCCTGCTTCATATTTGCAAATATTTAGGGTTTGAAATCATATAAAAATGACAAAGTTAGTTATGTCAGTTGGCTCCTAACAGAAGCAAATGCCATGTTTGGAGCATTTACAGAAACACATACGAGGGATGTTTTGGACGTAGAGATAAAGATGGAAAACTATAACATGTATAGATGTGATAGGATTAATAGGTTACAGGGAGGAGTAGGAATCTGTGTAAAGGATACTTTCTGTTGCATAGAAATGCTGAACTCTACGAATGATACAGTAGAAATTCTAGGCATTAAAGTTGAAAATAGGAATTTGGTAATTATTCTAGTATACAAACCACCATCAGCAACTGCTGAGGAATTCACAGATAAGCTAAGGAAGATAGATATGTGGATAGGCTAGAAAATCCCACACCAAATATTTTACTCCATGGAGATTTTAATCTCCTTCATGTAAAATGGAAGATGGCACAACGTAATGTTATTCCAGAGATATCTCCGGGAAGCACCCTGGCTCATCAGGCACATACCAGGGAACTAATGAGGCTTTGTGAAAAGTACTCTTTAAACCAAGAGGTAATTGATCCCACTAGAAATGAAAATACCCTGGATTTGACATTCACAAACAAGAAACAGAGACAACAGTTCCAAACAAAATATACTCCGATCATAACATCATAGAAGTTCAAACGAGTATTAACTCGGGGTTAGGGAACTGTGTCACTAATGTTAGAGACGGAATGCTCAGTAAGTTTAATTTTAACAACCATAGAATTGACTGGGAAAAAAAATAAACCAAGAGCTATCAGACATATCCTGGGAATCAGACATGAGCACGCTAAATCCCTACCAGTGCCAAGAGAAGCTGAATAAGGAAACATACAAGGTATGTATGAAGCATGTACCATTGAGGAAACCCAGAAGATCAGATAGAGAGAGAGCGTAGAAGATGGTACAGAAGTAGAAAACGGGTTACTGAATTGCTTAAAAACACAAATATGCTACAACAGAGGAAATATAGGCTTAGCCGAGAGATCACTGAATTAGAGCAAAAGCTTAGGATGTCATACTTCACAGAAGAAGTACAAAGGGAACAAAGGGCCATACAGGATATTGTAAGAAACCCAAAATATTTCTGCTCCTAAGCAGAATCCAAGCTAAGAACTACCTGTAGAACTGGACATTATTGATAGGAGATTCGTATACTGACGATGAACAGGAAATGAGTGAAATCCTAAAAGAACAGTATGAGTCGGTGTTCAGCAAGCCACTAAAGGTAGAAAATGCAAAAATATTTTTCACTCCAGAAGAAGGCCGCGAAGACCACTAACTGACATTAGTACAAATCCCATAGTTTTCGTAAAAGAAATGGGAAACATGCGCACTCACTCAGCACCAGGACACACACACACGCACACACACATACACACACACACGCACACACACACATACACACACACACACACACACACACACACACACACACACACACACACACACACACACACACACACACACACACACATACACACACACACCACACCACTCACCACAATATGCTGTAGAATTCCACAGCACACTGCCATTTCCCCTACCCCCACAGACTCCCAGAACACAGTGTTCGAGAAGAAACTACAGGTATGGTACACCAACGCTGATGGAATAACGAATAATTGGGAGGAGTGGCACGAAAGAATCAATGAGGCATCACCGGACATCGTAGCTCTCACCGAAGCCAAGCTCACAGGAATGATAACAGATGCCATCTTTCCAATGGGATATCAGATCCTGCGGAAAGACAAAGGAAACAGAGCGGGAGGAGGAGTGGCACTGCTCATCAAAAACCAAAGGGATTTTGAGGAGCTGGAGAGAGGAGGTAGAGGAGAAGCAGGATACTATATAATAGGAACACTTCAGTCTGGAGGTCCCAAGGTGGCAATTGCAGTGATGTATATCCCACCACAGAACAGCAGGAGGCCAAGGCAAGAGTATGATGAGAGTAACAGACCAATGGTTAACACACTGGCTGAAGTGGCCAGAAGGGCTCATGTGAGCAGGGCAAAGCTACTGATTATGGGCGACTTCAATCACAAAGAAACTGACTGGGAGAACTTGGAGCCCAGAAACGTGGAAGGCTAAGATGATGGAGGTGGTGCTGCAAAACCATGTACCAACACATAAAGGACACTACCAGAGAGAGAGAGGAGAGGATGAACCAGCAAGACTAGACCTAGTATTCATCTTGAGTAGTACAGATACTGAGGACGTTACATGTGAAATACCTCTCGGGGCCAGGAACCATGTGGTTTTGAGCTTTGAATACACAGTAGAGTTACAAGTGGAGAGGGAAGCAGGAAGGGCAGGACGAACGAAGTCAAACTGCAAGAGAGGGGACTACAGAGGCATGAAGAATTTCCTGCACGAGGTTCAGTGGGACATAGCATTGGCAGGGAAATCAGTAAATAAGATGATGGAATATGTGACAACAGTATGCAAGGAAGCTGAGGAGGTTTGTACCCAAGGGTAACAGAAATAACGAGAAGGCCCTTGGTTCACTCAAAGGTGTAGAGAGGCCAAAACCAATTGTGCTAGAGAATGGAAAAGGCATAGAAGGCAAAGGACCCAGGAGAATAAGGAGAGCAGTTGTAGAATCAGAAATGAATATGCACAGGTAAGAAGGGAGGACCAACGATAATACGAAAATGACAGCAGCAAAAATCAAATCTGACCCAAAGCTGTAGTACAGCCACATCAGGGAAAAACAACAGTCTAGGACCAGGTAATTAGGCTGATGAAGGAAGGAGGGGGATCATAAGAAACGACCGAGAAGTATGTCAAGAGCTAAACAAGAGATTCAAAGAAGTATTCACAGAGACAGAAGGGACTCCAGAAAGGAGAGGTGGTGTACACCATCAAGTGTTGGCCACAGTACATACAAACGAGGAGGAAGTGAAGAGGTTGCTAAGCGAGCTAGATACCCCGAAGGCGATGGGGCCGGATAACATCTCTCCATGCATTCTAAAAGAGGGCACGGAGGCACTATGTTTACCACTAACAACAATCTTCAACACATCTATCGAAAATGGCGACCACCTGAAGTATGGAAGACAGCAAATGTAGTCCCGATTTTTAAAAAATGAGACAGACACGGAGCACTAAACTACAGACACACTAACATGTGTAGTATGCAAAGTCATGAAGAAGATTATCAGGAGAAGAGTAGTGGGGCACCTAGAAAGGAATGAGTTTATCAACGACAACCAGCACGGTTTCAGGGATGGGAAATCCTGTGTCGCAAACCTACTGAAGTTCTATGACAGGGTGACAGACGTAAGACAAGAGAGCGAGTCGGGTTGGTAGATTGCGCTTTCTTGGACTGTAATAAGGCTTTTGACACCGTTCCACTCAACAGATTAGTGCAAAAGCTGGAGGACCAGGACCAGGGAGGTATAACAGGGAAGGCACTGCAATGGATCAGGAAATATCTGTCGGGAAGACATCAACGAGTCATGGTACCTGACATGGTGTCAGAGTAGGGTTCCACAAGGGTCAGTCCTATTTCTGGTATATGTGAACGACACGACCGAAGGAATAGATCCAGAAGTGTCCTTGTTAGCAGATGATGAGAAGTTTATGAGAAGAATTCAATCAGGTGAGGACCATGTACAAATAAAAGGGATCTGGACAGGCTGCAGGGCTGGTCCAGAAACTGGCTTCTCGAGTTCAACCCCACCAAGTGCAAAGTCATGAAGTTCGTGGAGGGGCAAAGAAGACCGCAGACGGAGTACAGTATAGGGGGGCCAGAGACTACAACCCTTACTCAAGGAAAAGGATCTTGGTGTGAGTATAACACCGGACACATCTCCTGAGGCGCACATCAACCAAATAACCGCTGCAGCATATGGGCGCCTAGCAAACCTAAGAATAGCATTCCGACGTCTTAATAAGGAATCATTCGGGACCCTGTACACCGTGTACGTCAAGCCTATATTGGAGTATGCAGCACCAGTTTTGAACCCACACCTAGCCAAGCACGTAAAACGCATGTCCTACGAGGAGAGGTTAAGTGAAATCGACCTGACGACACTGGAGGACAGGAGAGATAGGGGAGATATAATAACGACATAAAATACAGAGAGGAATCGACAAGGTGGACAGAGACAGGATGTTCCAGAGATGGGACACAGCAACAAGGGGTCACAATTGGAAATTGAAGATTCAAATGGATCACAAGGATGTTAGGAAGTATTTCTACAGTCACAGAGTTATCAGGAAGTGGAATAGTCTGGGAAGTGATGTAGTGGAGGCAGGATCCATACATAGCTTTAAAAAGAGGTATGATAAAGCTCATGGAGCAGGAAGAGTGACCTAGTAGCGGCCCAGTGAACAGGCGGGGCCAGGAGCTATGAATCGACCCCTGCAAGCACAACTAGGTGAGAACTAGGTGAGTACAAACACACACACACACACTACACACACACACACACACACACACACACACACACACACACACACACACACACACACACACACACACACACACACACACACACACACACACAGGAGCTCGGACTCGACCCCCGCAACCTCAACTAGGTGAGTACACACACACACTACAAACAAGAGGCCAAGTGTCTATCGACAAGCGCCTTTGACAACCGGTAACTAAATAACACACACCCACTGTAGCTAGATTCTGAAATTTAATGATTTTTATTTTTTCAATTGTAAGTGGCACGGGACTGTCTGTAATGGCAATGAGTAATGACATTGGCATCATCAGGTAATTAATCTATTTAATATGTCACCCTCATATATTATTTAATGCCTATTGATCAATAAGTATTCCCTGATATATTATGCACAGTAATCATCGTTTTAAAAATATTTAAAAATATGGTACTGGCTGACTATTGGACATCGGTATCGAAATAGGCAAAGATTTTGGTATTGCCGCATCGCTTTTGGTAATATGCTCAAAATGATGAGTATAAAAATTAGAAGATAGTGAGAGGAATGGAAATATAAGTCAGGGAATTGAGGTTTGGGTTATGAGGATCATTTAGTGATTTTGGAATTATGTAGCAAAATTGGTTGATTAAGCGGATGTATAAAACAGAGTTTGATGAAAGGTGGAATAAATTACGTTTCAGAATATGTTGAAGAAATGGGGTGAAGAAGTTTTAGAGCATCTAATGGGCATGTGTTAGCGAGTTGGACTGGTGTGAGTGGAGATAGGTGAATATCGGGATTAGACTTTCCAGTGGGTGAAATGTGTGTAAAGTTACATTTGGGAAGCGATCCAAGAAAACCAGTGAGCCAGACATAAATGGTGTAGGAGAGTATACAGTACCTACAGTCCAAAAGATGGGTCGGGATGTAGATTTTCAGAACGTCATTTAATTTATGTCTGTGCACTTCTGACATGGCAGCTATTAAATGAATAATAATGAATAAGTTTTCTTTCTTTGGATAACCCCAAGATGATGTTAAATGGTCATTGTGAAAAAGTATGAAAAGAGAAATAGGTTTATTTATATTAAAAAATAAATTAATTTATTTTGCTTTCATTTCATTTTTCATTTACCCAGATGTGTCTTGTGATACTGTAGACATCTGCCACATCCATGCCCAGTGTTTGTTTGATGACTACGCTCTCCGGCATGTCTGTGTCTGCCTGGATGGTTACCAAGGTGATGGCCTCGTCTGCACACCTCAAGGTTAGAAACGTTATGAAAATGACTAACTTTAAAACAGTGAAGGGAAATCTGCACATGAGGATACGTGCGAAAGACAGATGACTTGGATGTCTGCACTTAGGCTGGCAGAGTGGTACGATACGGTACGGTATTTAATTCGGTACGGTACGATACTGAATTTTTCCTTAAGAAACAGAAGCGTACTGTTTTTTGAAAGAAAAACAGAAAAAAAGCCTTACCATACTGTTCCAGCAACCTTGGCCATATAGTGAAATTCGCCACCACATAATTGTTGAAATTTCTAAGGCTTGGTGACAGAGTACCAGACATAAACCTGGTGAAATCTAATGATGTCCCTATTACCAAAACGTTGGAATAGAAAAGGAATAATTAATATGAAGGAAATAAACCTCTACATTATTCTATATCTATAATTATCACCCTGTAGTAATACTGTATATGATGCACTTTAGCAGCTCAGTTCGGACTTTAACAGAGACGTGATTGGTTCACGTCCAAATTTCCTGTCATTGGTGGATTTATGTTTCGGAAATGCAACACATAAGCAAGTTATGTATTTCAGTTAAGTACATGAACAGCCAGTTATAATTTAATTTTGCTCCATCAGATTTTAGAAAAACTAGATGTTTCAATTTTCTAATTACGTATTTTGATATGGTTTCCAGTAAAAAGAAAAGAATTAATGAAATTTGTTATTTTAATCCGGGAATTATAAAAGAATACGGTAATCTATGCCACAGGTAAAATAATTAATGTTTGTTTTCCCATTCTCGATATATCACTTTTTTTTTTTTATGACTGAAATTTATAATGTAATTCATCAAAATTGTCATCCCAGTTGGATAACTATGTTTCACTATTTACATTTACACTAAAATATTATGATTCCTCTTTATTATCGCATAGCAAAAAAGAAACAAGAAATATGTATAATCAATAAATTTTATAGTTTTTATTATATTAGTTGAAATAAATTTGATTTTCCAGCAGGAATATTCCCCATCAGTGAAGAACTAAATGAACGATGCGTTTTGTAAATCAAATTGTACAGTGTGTGTGTGTGTGTGTGTGTGTGTGTGTGTGTGTGTGTGTGTGTGTGTGTGTGTGTGTGTGTTGTGTGTTTGTGTGTGTGTGTGTGTGTGTACTCACTAACTTGTATTTACCTATTTGTGGTTGCAGGGGTTGATTCATAGCTCCTGTCCCCGCCTCTTCACCGATCGCTTACTAGGTCCTCTCTCTCCCAGCTCCATGAGCTTTGTCAAATCTCGTCTTAAAACTGTGCATGGTTTCTGCCTCCACTACATCACTTGCTAGACTATTCGACTTCCTGATAACTCTGTGACTAAAGAAATTCTTCCTAACATCCCTTTGACTCATCTGAGTCTTCAGTTTCCACTTGTGGCTCTTTGTTTCTGTGTCCCATCTCTGGAACATCCTGTCTCTGTCCACCTTGTCAATTCCGCGCAGTATTTTCTATGTCATAATCATGTCTCCCCTATCCCTCCTGTCCTCCAGTGTCATTTAGGCTGATTTCCCTTAACCTTTCTTCGTAGGACATTCCCCTTAGTTCCATAGCTAGTCCTGTTGCAAACCTTTGCACTTTCTCTAATTCCTTGACGTGCATGACCTGGTGTAGGTTCCAAACTGGTGCTGCATACTCTAGTATGAGCCTGACGTACACGGTGTAAAGAATCTTGAACGATTCCTTCTGAGGTATCGGAACGCTATTCTCAGGTTTGCCAGGCGCCCGTATGCTGTAGCAGTTATCTGGTTGATGTGCCCCTCAGGAGATGTGCTCGGTATTATACTCACCCCAAGATCCTTTTCCTTGAGTGAGGTTTGCACTTTTTGGCCACCTAGCTTATACTCTGTCTGCGGTCTTTTTTGTGCTTACCCGATCTTCATGATTTTGCATTGGCGGGGATAAATTCGAGGAGCCAGTTGCTGGACTAGGCTTGCAGCCTGTCCAGGTCTCTTTGTAGTCCTGCTTGATTTTCATCCAATTTAATTCTCTTCATTAACTTCACATCATTTGCAAAGAGGGACACTTCTGAGTCTATCCCTTCCATTATGTCATTCATATATACCAAAAATAGCACTGGTCCTAGGACTGACCCCTGTGGAATCCCGCCTGTCAGAGGCGAAAACTCTGCCACCTCGTCACGTACCATGCGTCGTTGCTGCCTCCCTGTCAAGTATTCTCTGATTCATTGCAGTGCCCTTCCTGTTATACGTGCCTGATCCTCTAGCTTTTGCAGTAATCTCTTTTGAGGAACTATGTCGAAGATCTTCTTGTAGTCCAAGAAAATGCTATCCATTCACCCCTCTCTCTCGTGTCTTCCGTTACCTTGTCATAAAACTCCAGCAGGTTTGTGACATAGGGTTTCCCTTCCCTGAATCCGTGCTAGTTGTCGTTTATAAGCTTGTTTCGTTACAGGGGTTCCACCACTTTCCTCCTGTGTGTGTGTGTGTGTGTGTGTGTGTGTGTGTGTGTGTGTGTGTGTGTGTGTGTGTGTGTGTGTGTGTGTGTGTGTCTGTAAGAGAGAGAATGTGCGTGAAATGTTGGAATAAATGAGTTGTGCTTATAGTTCCTTTAAGGCCCTTTCATGAACACTAAGTCATTGCTAACACTGTTAGAATTAACCCTTAAGTAGAAGACTCATACTTTCAAATGTTCACCAGTCTACAAAAGCAAAAATAAATACGATTATTTAGTTCACTCAATTTTGAAAATACTTTTCTTTAGAAATATGGAAAAGTACCAAATTACTGCACGATATTTTTACGTACTGTTTGGTATGGTAAAAAAAAATGCATGACGAACACTGTACGATATTATTTGACGATAATTCTCACAGGTACTAAAGCCGGAGAAAATTACCGTATCGTATCTGCTAGTTTTGGTCCACACTGAGGCTGTATGTCGGAAAATGGAAGGATAAAAGGTATTTTCTGAGTAAGAGAATGGTAGCTCCAGTTCTGTGGATCTAAAGACCTTCACCGTCATCGAAGTATCTTTTTGGAAAGCATTCACAGCAGTCTATCCAAGAAGGTTCTTCCATGCTGTTATGAGAGTTTGAACTGGAAACCTCTTAAAGATTTTTCCATGTGGAAGAATTACTTTTTTTTGTCTCATGAACATGTAAGATAAATCTTACATCTTGTTATAGTCCGCATACAGATTCCTTTTCCTTCCTGAGTGTATATTAATAATAAATATAACGATTAGTACTGTAATATTTCCTTTTCAGTTCAGTAAGTCTTGTATGAGACCGGGTTGCAAAGGCGGTGATACACAGAACTACTAACAGATAAATTACATTTTCTGTCATGTATTTACTAGTGTTTCACTATCTGAGGGAACAAGTATCCATGAATACTTAAAACGTCAAGTTACAAAACTTATAATATAGTAATTATGTCCTTCCTCCCTTCCTTATGGTTTTAATTTATTTATTTTATATTGTGTTATTACTGTAATTTTTTTCTGATTTCAAAATGCTTTAAACAGTGTAAAAACGATCAGAAAATGTAAGAAGAGATGCTGATGTAAAGTTTTCATTAACTGTTATTTGTTTTCTTATTGAAATCTACAATGTATATTCATGGCTGTCTTCCTACAGATGAATGCAGCAGTGTTATGGATTGTGACACTAATGCTCAGTGTCTGTACGAAAGTAAAAGTCAACGTTACAAGTGTGAGTGTAATGATGGTTATGAAGGAGATGGACGCACCTGTAAGCCCCTGGGAGGTCTGTAGAAGTCGTATGAGTCTCATAAAAATGCCTCATATTTATATATAAAGTTTTATACTTTATATATAAATATGAGGCATTTTTATAAGGTGGGAATCGGCCAGTGTGATAATAAAAAAAATTATATATAATTTAATTTCAGTACTTTAACTTTGTTTGAATTATTAAAAGGCCTTGGAATTTGATTCTTGCTTATCTTACATGTCCTTTTGTAGAGGCAAGCTGTAATATCGTCAACAATTGTGATGCCAATGCAGAATGCATATATGATACGTATGCTCTGGCTTACCGTTGTCAGTGCCGTGATGGCTTTGAAGGAGATGGCATCTTCTGTACTCCAATTCAGGTAAGACTCCCTTTACTGATAGTTTATTAGATATTTGTTTGGATTTTAGCCCTGTGTTTTTCCACCACTGACTTTCCCCACAAAATGTAAATATGTCGTTTAACATTTACTTAAAATATAAAATATTTACACTCAGTGGCCTCTATTACGTACATTTGTATTCCTGCTCCCTAATGAAAAGATTTAATCAACCAATCACGTGGCAGCTCCTCAATATCTAAAAGCATGCAGACTTGGTCAGGAGGTTCAGTTGTTGCGCAGACAAAACATCAGAATAGGGAAGAAATGTGATCTAAGTGACTTTGACTGTGAAATAACTGTTGTTGCCAGATGGGGTGTTTTAAGTATTTCAGAAAATGCTAATCTCCTGAAATTTTCACTCACAACAGTCTCTAGAATTTCCAAAGAATGGTGTGAAAAAATGCAAAACATCCAGTGAACGGTAGTTCTGTGGGTGAAAAAGCTTTGTTAATGAGAGAGTTCAGAGCAGAATGACCAGACTGGTTCAGACTGACAAGAAGGCGACAGCATCTCAAATAACCAACTCTGAATGCACAATACGTCAAACCTTGAAGTGGATGGGTTACAGGATGTGAAGGCTTACTCAGCCCTGTAACAACTTCAGACAGAATTACCAAGGCTGACTCCTCCTCAGGAAAATTACTGAATAGAAAAATAAATAATAATTCACAAATATAAACACTTTATTATTTAGTAATGCAAAGATAAAACATTGAAACATGAAGGTGTATCCTACTTGAAATAAAAATGAAAAATGAAATGAAAAAATGACATTTGAATTCAACGCTAATATGTACAGTTATACTGGGGTGTCTGGTGGAGGTTGACACCGTCTTGTAGAAATTGTAGCCGTTACTGATGAGGTTGGGGGGGGGTCACAGGTGTTGGTGACAACCCAACGACTAGTTCTTCACAGCCTTGAATAGTCAGTCCAGATGACAGGAACGCAGGTTCTTTACCACTGCAAAGATGAGGGGTTGTGGCGTACAGTTAATCAGGTAGATAGATCAAAAAGTGACGTTAGTCCGTCTCCTTCAACACTTTTCGTTGGTTGGCAGGTGACCCGAGCTGTCATTCCACACTGGAAAGAGAGACAGGTTACCCACTGCTTAAGAAATCACTCTCCATGATAAGTGCAAGATACTTAAAAAAAGTGATTATCTACAAGCATAACATGGGTCTTAACACTGAAAGGACAAGTTTATTATTGGTCAAAAGTGAAGCTTTCAACCAATATATCCACTAGAATAGGAGCAGAGGCTTTTACTTACAGTTGTGCTGGGAGCTGTGAGTCAAGTGATTACTGTTTGGTCCGAGCCCCACACGTCACCTTTCGGGGTGGGGAGAAACGGGGGGGACAGGATAGCGGGAGCTAGACTGACCCTCCCTTAACAAGCAGCCGGCAATCAAACTATCGTTACCATATACTCGCTCGCTACTCCTATCTGTTGAACTTTTCTCTCATACAGGAGCAGAAGACCATGCTGGGTTCCACTCCTGTCAGCTAAGAACAGGAAATTGGAAGGTTGAAATTGGACACTTGAAAATTAGAAACACATCTCCTTTTCGGACGAATCGCAATTTTTGCTGCAACATGCAGATGGTATGGTAGAATTTGGCATAAACTTTTAGGATGTGGTGGAACTGAAGATTTACATCAAGAATGTGCAGCTGAGAAACCTGCAACAATTACATGATGCTACCATGTCAACATGAACCAGAATCTCTTGGAAATGTTTTCAGCACCTTATTGAATCCATGCCACATAAAATTCAGGTCTCGTGGCAAAGGGAAATTCTTCCCAGTACTAGAAGGGTGTACGTAATAAAGTGGCCACTTAGTGTAAGTTTGTTTATAAATTGAAGCATCTTATTAATTATTGTTAGCATTATCTCCATGAAAAATATGATGGAATTTGAAAGAAAATGACTGTTAGTGGTGTGAATGAGATGCCTCTAACTATATGATATTGCGACAACTAACATTCAAAGTATTTATAAACATTCTCTAATAACAAGTGATGATGCGGTAGATACTCTACATTAGAGAGCACAACACAAGCGCAACAATTAGGTATCCATATTGTCGAAAGGTTTACCTGCTCAGCAGGTTTCTTCAGTCGAATCCAGAAATGCCTTAGATATTGGTTCAGTGGCTGATCCCCTCAAAATTTCTTCTTGAAGAATGAAGACGATCACCTCATAAAAATCTCCACTGCTTTTGTTGTCTCCACTATTTAAGCACCTGTGTATTCGACTGAAGAAGCCCGCTGAGCAGGCGCAGCGTTTCTACAGTAATGATTCTTAACTAGTGCACATGTGTCTTGAAAAAAAATGACTTAGAATTATTTTCTGAGATTTGAGACTTTCATAAACATTATTCTTATATCGCAAAAGCTTTTTTTTTTTAGCATATTTGTTTCAAATTTCTCATGTGAATATTTTAAAGTTGCATCATATATTGCATTTTTTCCAACCATATTTAACATGTTTATAGAGGCTATTTATTTTTTGTTATTATCATTATCTTAATGTTTGTGGTGCAGGAAAATGGCTTGACAGTTTTGTCTTCTGTTCAATTCTTCACTAACATTATTTAATTCACAGTAGAGTGAAATTTCACTTTGAATTATTGTGGTTGGGTAAAAAAATAAACCAATGCTTTTTAAAAATAATATTACTACTTCGTTTGGAAATGAAATCTAGAAAAATACTACAACCGTTTATAATTAATATTTTGTGAGTTTAAATGGGCATTAACTACTTCCTCCGTATCCATCACTAAATTGTAAATCTTGACAAAAATAAATGAATAAAAGATTAGTTGAAAATTCACAATCTCTTTTGAGCAAAAAGTATGATGGACATAATATGTACGAGGCAGTTTTGAACCAGTTTCAGAAAATTAATTTAAAACTTATTGTAATTCGTTACATAAAAGTGAGATTTTTTGTCAGTTTGTTGTTTTTTTTCAGATTGGATGTAACGTTATTTACAACTGTGGTGACAATGCAGAATGTTTGTATGACAGGTCAGCTCAAGGTTACCGCTGCCACTGTAGAGAGGTTAGTAAAGTCTTGCTTTACTAATGTACGTGTTGAAAGGGGCACATCCTTCTTTGCAATAATTCAAGAACACCTTTTCCAATTGGCTCCAAGTTTCAGTGCTTGTGCATTTTGCTGAAAGAAAGGTTGACATGGACTAATGTTACTCAAATTGGGATATGAACATATTTGCAATAGCTGGATAATGCGTTTCTAATTAGCTTAAAATTTTTAAGAATGGTGAATCATAGATTTTGGAATAAGCGGCTTCCTAATGACCATTTTGTCTACAATAATGAACGAATTGTTATAATGATTTCTGTTCAGTAACTTAAGAATGCCTATTCTTTTAAGCTTCAAGTTTTCAACGTTGGTGTATCTTATTTAGAGGAAGAATCAGTTTATTTTTCGACCTTGTTGCTTTCAGTTAGCCAATTTTATTCTAAACCTTCGAGCTGTGGAAAAGCGGTACCTGTGGCATCACAGTTGGTGCTAACTTTTTTTTTAAGCAATAATATGAATTGTAGAAAATGAAAAATTGGACTCATTTACGTAAATAAAAAAAATACATACATTTTTATACAATGTTAAATCTTAAGAGATTTAACGTAGTCTTCGTTACAGGTAAAAAAAATTATGTCTATGCATTCTGTTAATTTTCTGTGTGTTTATGTTAAAAAACCTTGTATATGACCGAGATGAATTCTAAGTTCTAGACTGATAAGTGGTAATTAACATTTCATCTCTACGTTTGGGGCTTTTGATGTCTAGCTCCTATGCTTTGTGAGGGCTCTGAGGTACAGATGCTAGGCTTAACGCTATTAGTACTATGTTCCTTGGTGTCTTCAAAGAAGAACATGAGAACGAGGGAACACTGCAGCAAGCTTAATGGCCCATGTTAGACAGGTCCATTTCACGCATTCCTACACCCACTCATTTATCCCTCCAATCTATTTTAAAGCTTCTGGAAGTTCTTGCGTCAATGACGCTACCTGAGAGTTTGTTCCATTCGTCGCTAGCACATCTCAAAATCCTTTCTAAATTTAAATTTCTTGAACTTGAATCCTTTGCTGCGAATACCATCTGAGATATTTTCATCACTTTATTTATATCCCCTTTTATTTATTACTGTCAAATCTTCAATCGTATTTATTACTATCAAATCTTCAATCACATCTCTCCAATTCTACATGCTAAAAATTAAAGCCTATTTTTGTAGGAGAGGTTTGCAGTACATGGAGTCAACTTTCTCATCCTTCTCTGTATATTGTCGAGTGCTCTTATGAACATCCAATAATATGCATACCTGAACTGAACAGCATTATCCAAATGAGATCTAAACCAAAGATATATAAAGCTGAAATATAGCCGTAGAATTTCTTTGAAGCCAAGAATTTGGCTTCATAGAAATGTCCACTAAACAGATCCTTTTTCCATTCACTCTAAGATCTACATTGTTAAGCTTTTATGACATACTTGTGTCCTTTTCATAGGATTAGAACCTTATACTTATTTGCATTGAACTGTATTATCTGTCACTTCTTGGACTACAATATCCTTTTCAGATCATACTGTAGCCTTCTGGTGTTCATGTCATAAATTATTTGGTGGCCTATTTAAGGGACATTGGCAAACTTACATGCGGCATGTAGCCATTTATCCCCTCATCAATGTCATTTAAGTAGACTGTAAACAACATGTGTCCCAGCACTGAACCCTGTGGCACGCCACTTGCAACGGGTCTCAGTTCCAATTTCTCTCCCTAAATGTAAACCGTTTCTTACCCATTAAGCATGTCTCAACCCAGGAGATAATTTCTTCTCCTATTCCATGTGCTGTTACTTTCTAAATCAGACACCTGTGCGAAACTTTATCAAAGGCCTTACTGAAGTACATATACACAATACTTTATTTTTTATATTCGTCTACCGACTCGAATTCTTTAGCGAGAAAAGGTTATTAAATTCATAAGGCTAGAACGCCCCTTGTAAAACAGTGCTGAGATTTTTTGATCAAATTAACTTTCAAGGTGGCTTCGAATTTCATAAAAAAAATGATTGACACCTTCAATTTTCCCTCAATTGAGGTTAGGTTGATTGGTCTATAATTCAAAGATAAGGACCTATCTCCTACTCTTTTAATGGTTATCACATCTGTTCTTTTCCATTTATCCGGTAAGATACTTGTTTGTGTTGATGTGTTGAAGAAACTAGCTAATGGCTTGCCATTCCTTTAGAACCCATGGAAACAGTTCATCATAGTTCGGCGATTTGTTCGACGACTATTTCACTAGTCAGTTTGTTAGTGCATGATTTATTTTCGTCCTGACCAGTACAAGTATTGATATTTAGGATTTCTTTTATATCCTCTTTTGTAAAAGTAGAGAGGAAATACTTGCTAAAAATGGTACACATTTATTTCTCACTAACAGTAGGCTGACCTGAGTTACATTTAAGTGGGTCTATCTTTTCCCTATCTAATTCCAATATACCTGAAAGAAACTCATCGCAACCTTAATTCCATAGTCTCTTCCTTATTCCTATTGTTTATGTCTCTTTTAAACAGAATATCTTCTTAAATAAGGGTAATTCATGTTTGATTTAAATTCTCTACTAGGTATATACAGCGTGGCCAGCATGTACAATGCTTTGGAAAATGTTATATTAGTAACTATCACTACCTTCCATTCGGTCTTCGTCATGGTAGTCCCTAGTCAGGTTACCCCCAGTGTACACTTCTCAGGTAATCCCTTAGCTCCATACAACTTGCAGCTCGAAAACTGGGGACCTTGTGAAGGCTTACTCAGCCCTGTAACAATTTCAGTCAGTATTACCAAGGCTGGCTCCTCCTCAGGAAAATTAATGAATAGAGAAAGAAATAATAACAGACAATGATAAACACTTTATTATTTAGAAACGGAAAATGTAAAACAATAAAACATGAATGGGCATCCTAATTGAAAGAAAAATGAAAAATTAAATGAAAAAAATTACATTTGAACTCAACGCTAATATAGGTATATCGTGGTAATGAGGTGTCATGTGTTGGTGACACTGCGTGTTGTTGAAATCGTAGCCGTTGCTGATGTGGGGGGGGGGGGGGGTAGCAGGTGTTGGTGACCACCATCGGCTCGTTCTTCACAGAGCGTAGCCGTGAATAATGACTTCAGATGACAGGAAAACAGGTTCGTTACCACTGCTATGATGAGGGGTTAGGTCCCTGTGTTGGCTTACATAACAGGTAATTAGATTATACATGGGACGTCTCAGGACGTTAGTCCGTCTCCTATTCTTCTCGTTGGTTGGCAGGTGACCCTCTCTGTCATTCCAAGAGAAGTGTTGGGAGCTGTGAGTCGAGTCATTTACTGTTTGACCGGAGCCCTACATGTCACCTTTCGGGGGGGGGGAGAGGGAGGGGAAGGGATAGCGGGAATTAGACTGACCCCTACCTTAACAAGCAGCCGGCAATCAAACTATCACTTTCGGGGAGGGGGAAAAAAGGGGGGGGGGAATAGCAGGAGCTGGACTTACCCTACCTTAACAAGTAGCCGGCAATGAAACTATTGTTACTATACACTCCCTCGTTACTCCTATCTATTGAACTTTTCCCTCACACTCCCCCATACCAAGACTTATAGTCAAGGAGTATAAGGAGAATAGGCGAGGAAAAAGTTCTAACATGTGGAAGCCGCGTAAGGTAACAAATCTTCTACTGACTGTCACGACTTAACCAGAGAAATAATTGGATGAACCATTGATATACACAATATGGAACTTAAAAGCCTGGAGTGCCAATGTCCACCTCAAGAGGCGACTGTTGGTTCCCTTAAAAGTTTCTAGGTATATCAAAGGTTTGTGGTCCGTTTCTAAAATGAATTCTTTTCCCAGTAAATAAAATTTAACCTTGGAGATACCCCACACAAGAGCCAAACATTCCTTTTCTGTGGTGGAATATCTCGTTTCTGCAGGAAGGAAGTTTTAGATTTAATAAATATACAGGATTTAGGAGAGTGTGTATTTTGTGCAGTAAGCACCTGACACCTATTGCAAGAACTATACTTTTTTGTAACCTGAGAATACATGCTTGGCCAAAAATAAGTGTGCTTGAGTTTATGCCACGCCTTACGATGGGCCAAGTGTTTGGTCACTGGCAAATCATGAGCCATTTGAAGAACAGTCTCTCGACATGGTTTAGGAACAACAAGGAGGGAATAATCTATCACTGAAGAATGAGGTCTAAATACAGATTTATGTAAGATACCATTAATATATTCAAACTTATGAGATACGTATCTCCCATGGATAACGTTGTTGTTAAAAGCTTGATTACGACAATCCCGAAGTGAAGGGCAATTGCACTGTATATTGACAAAGTCATCCTTGGACATAAAATCTGGGAAAATAAAAGGACTTACAGTGGGAGAAGAGGAGGTAGGAGAAGCCGAAGTTATGGTCTGAGCCCTAGTCAAGACATTGAGAGTGCCGGAGGCAATACCCTTACTTTCACCTGACGAGTGGACAGGTGATCCTGCTACCTCACTATCGAGAGCAGTATCATCCGTTTCCACCCCCAAATGAACAGTACGAGACAAAGCAGCTTCCGGTGCAGAATTGTTAAGGGGCTTATTTAACTTGCAAGGAGGAAGAGCTGGAAAACTTAAATCCACGGGTGGTGACGAAAGATCCACCTCTGAAGGAAGAACGGCACCTTTAATGTTGCCCACTGTTATAGAACAAGTAATTGGGGCTAGTACCGCATTAGTCCAACCGGTGAACCATTTAGTTTTCAAGTAACAGCGTATTGTAGGGAAAGTATTTTCACGACCCAAGTAATCTGAAAGAATAGAGGACACACGAGAGGTGTTAAAGTAAGGGAATAGTTTGTCCGAAATTACGATGCACGTACATCCAGTGTCACATAATATATCAGAGACTTTTATACCATTAACTGCTCAGGAACAGAAGGGTGCTTGGTCATTACCGTCAACAAAACATCTACCAACTTTCTCTATTTTCTTGGAA